GCCTTTTACCTTGCAGTATCCTTTTGGGCATTTCATTTTTTTCAAGCAAGCTGCTTTGCACTGGCGATTGGAAACTTTGGGATTATTGAACACTAGCTGGCTTACCCGGCTCCGCCGTATCCGGACCAAACTTGGCACACATACACTTCGGGCCCCGGCGGGTGTCACAGTCCACCTTTCATTATCGATCGATGTCGATTTTACCGATTTTTATCGATTTTTTTGCAGAGTTCACCTACAGAGCTAGGAGTTGGCACAGGGGGGAAGTGAGCATGGGGATTCCGAATACAATATTAGTTTTCAGAATTATCTATTACTTTTATTAATTTTATCGACTTTTTTTGTAAAGTTTGACCTGCGGGGCTGGGAGTTTGCACAGGGGGGTAATCGAGCATGCAGATTACGAATACAATATTAGTTTTCAAGATCGTCCATTACTTTTATCGATTTTACGATTTTTTGAAAATTTGAGCTAGGGGGCTGGAATTTGGCAGGGGGGTGTAATCGAGCATGCTGATCACCCCCCTTGGGGGTGATCAGCATGTTCGATTACCCCCCTGTGCCAACTCCCAGCCCCCTAGCTCAAACTTTGCAAAAAAATCGATAAAATCGATAAAAGTAATCGATAATCCCGAAAACCAATATTGTATTCGGAATCCCCATGCTCGATTACCCCCCTGTGCCAACTCCCAGCCCCGTAGCTCAAACTTTGCAAAAAAATCGATAAAATCGATAAAAGTAATCGATAATTCTGAAAACCAATACTGTATTCGGAATCCCCATGCTCGATTACCCCCCTGTGCCAACTCCCAGCCCCGTAGGTGAACTCAGCAAAAAAATCGATAAAAATCGATAAAATCGATATCGATCGATGACGAAAAGTAGCCTATGACACCCGCCGGGGCCCGTAGTGTATGTGTGCCAAGTTTGGTCCGGATCGGTTCAGAAATGGAATTTTCTATTCGGAACATACGTACAGACAGACAGACAGACATACAGACAGACATAGAAACAGACATTCAGCTTTATATATAAGATGTCTGAGCAAATCGGTATCATCTCCTTTTTGCGCGCCTCGACTGATATTTCCAAGACAAATAACAGTAATATCACAACAGGAAAGTGACGCGTCATCATCTAACAAATGCAAAGACTATTCTGGCTTTTGGAATGAGACGACAAGAAAGCCGGGTAACACCGCACTAGGCAACACCCACAATCGAAAATGAGAATAAGAATTTAAGAAATAAGAATTTGAATTGTTGAAATAGAAATTAGAAATAGAAATTCCTTGTTTTGTTGGGTAATTTCTTTCCAATGTTTCCTTTTTCAACGATGGCAACATCGAACCGATAGCTTAGCAGATCTTGTTACAATAATGAGTTCTCGTTTTTCGCGGATTTTGAGCCGGCGGTTTTACAGCGAAAACTTAGTCAATGAAAATGGCCAAAAACTTTCATAACGCGAAATTGCCTGTTCTCGATGTATTTCGCATTTGCTATCTCCAAGTCCTTCTGATGAAGTTAGTACCGATGCTCCATCCGTGGCTACGCTACAACATTACCAAAAACTCGTTGAGCAATCCTGTTCTTCAAAAGTACGCATAAGTTGTCTTGAATATGTTCTTTCCAGTCTCAGTTTCTAACAGTTCGAGCACTTCAAGGAAGTTTGTTTTGGGATACAACAGTTTGATCTGGAAGGCGTATGGTAAAAGAATCTTGCTATCAGGATCCGTGGATGTATCGACTAAGAATGAGAAGGAGGATGCTTTTTCTCGGGTAGTCGAGCGAGGTGTCTTCCATTTGCTTTGCTTTTTGCTTATATAACCGGTCATTTGCACGAAGCCGTCACGTATGTTGTACTTTCTCCCTCCAATCCTAACTTCAACATTGTCTCGCACAGTGTTGGAAACTGATAGGGCGGAATGTACATTTTTGCTGCCTCGTAAGCGATACAGACGGCTTGCTGCTGTTCCGGGATCTGTGGGAGCAATGCCAACAGCAGTGAGATAGCTGTTTACCTTGTCGTTGGTCATCCGTTATGTAGTATTCTACGGCGGCTTGATGTATGGTATGATTAGATCGGACATGTTTTTGCATTGTCTTTTCTACGTTAGACGTAAAACCCATTCCTTCTTTTGTTATATGCATATGGGGGGGGGGGGGCTTGTTCCGAATGGTAGTACTGTATTCGTAGCAGGGGTCGTAGCGCACTTTCATGAATTGCTTTTTTCGAGCCCAATTAGGGATTGGTTCAGGATATTGATATCTTTCAATCTTCGAATTTTGCAGAGTCTTGTCTCCTTTATCTGCGACAAAATTTTAGAATTTCTGAGCATGTCGTGATCGCAGCAAAAAAAATTGCACTTTCTGCGCAAGTCGTAGACTAACTTCGCTTCCCTGGCATGTTCTCAAGTCTTTATGTGAAATCTTTGAACTGCTGAGCTCTTGTCGGTAGCGCTACCCAATTCACGTTATCAAGTTTGCTTTCTCTTCATAGCAAAACGAAGAGCAGGAAGCGAGGAAGGAGGAAGCGATTACCGCGAAATCTTCAGCTCCTCCATGAGGATAGCTAGGCACTACCTGCGTCCGTTCCTGGAACAAAGGCGCTTCTGGTTCGTTAGCAGGAAGTCCGACACCCAGATTTTTGTTTTTTTTTTCTGTCACAGCAGGTGCTACTGTTTGTCTTCGGCGTCGTCATAACGAAACTCACTGTCAGCAGAAGCATATCCTACTCTTTGATCAAAAACACGTAGATATGGCGGATATGTGCGCCCATACTTCCGCGGGAGTGTGGCGAGAAAATTTTTAGTAAATGAATTATGCCTTTCATAGGTTTCATTTTTCTCTTCAGGAACTCATAAAAGGATAGAATGTTCCTTCTGCAGTCACGAGTATTTCCATCAGCATCGATTGAATTTGTGCTAGGTCTGATTCGGTGATCAATAAATCTACCGAAAGTTCGGTCGATAGGTATAGCGTCTAGTAGTGGGCGTGTTCCTATTCACAACTAGCTGCTTTTGTAGCTAACGTCATAGTCCACATAGTGGCAAAATTTGAGTGCACCATGTTAAAAAGGAAGAAAGTTATGGAAGTAGTTGCAAAACTTAGTTCCCAACTCTCTTTTCCTTTTTAACCAAAATTTCCAGGTATTCGACCTTCGACATTTTCCCTGAGGAAGGGTAACGGACATACTTACTTAGAAATTCCGCACTCCAAAACTATTGCTTGTAAGCAAAAGATAGTCCAATCGGCCCAGTAAAATACAGTGATAATTATCAGCAGCAGAAATACTAAATAGTAGGATTACAATGAAATGAAAGAGAAGAGAATGCATTGCTTATCAGCATTCAGCACTAGAAGTATAAAGGGCGTTGTGATAAGCGCCAAGAGTGTGTCACTCAGAGGTTTCTGTTTACATTTTTTACAATCACGCACAACTGCACACAGCTGCACCACTTTGATATTAAAGCGACTAATGGTTGAGATAAGAGAGCGCTTTGGTTACCATACTTCCGCGTTCTAAACAGTACACAGAACGAGAAAAGGTCCAAGATCGCACCACTCCAAATCAGGGGGAAATTGGCGTGATGCAGTCCGCATTGCACCGATTCTTCGTTATAGGGCCTGTTTGTCCCACTTTTTTCCGTTCTTCATGGCAGGCTCTGCGTGCGCAAATTCTGCTAAATTCAAATTCAAATTACCCGTTGCGAACGCGCTGTACCACGAAAACGTTGGGGATGATCCTGATCAAAACAGACTGTACTGTGACCACGAATATTCGTTTGAGCAAAACTCTCGTATAGCGTAGAGTACTCTCGTATAGATTTTGAATTTGGCCGTTTTAGAAGCTTCGTTGCTTGCATTGTGTGCGAAGTCAGCAGAGTCAGAATAACGGCAGTAGACGAGGCGGGACATTGTTATATTGGCGCTGTTTGAGTTCTGATGATGGCAGAGGATCCAAATTGTTTGGTGCAGATTTGAACATTTAGGAAGGAATAATACCGTCTAGTTGCACCACGCTTATACTCTAAAACATGTTGGATTCGTTATGTAGGCATCGTGATTTTCAGACAACAGATTCCGGTAACGCTGCAATAAACGCAACGATAAAGGATGTCCCAAAATAATGTATGAAGCATATAATCTCTAGTAACTTTCTGTATGAAAAGCTTTTGTCTTCCTTCGAACACCACTATGTAGAGCTGGCTCTAACTTAGTCTTGCAATGTGGAGCGAAGCACCGGTCCCTCTTCACTACTTGATTAGAGTAGGAATTCCGAAGAAGGTTTTGAGAGACTGAAGGCCTTATTTCGCCTCGGGAAACAATCAAGAACCTGAGAACTCTTACACTAGGGTAGTAAGAGTCTCTGTCACTAAATATGAACTTTGCACTTTATTACAATGCTTAATTCATAAGTTATACCAAGTAAACGGCAACAGCCGTTCTTACAATGCTCCCTGAAATTGTGATTACACCATTTGAAAGGCCTTACAAACTCGCAAAAAAGTGAGTAATGAAATTAGCGCACTGAAAATCGTGGTATATAAATTTCCAGATTTTTCTTTGGAAATTGTGAAACACGGTAATTAAAGTGACGTTGTAAACTGAAATTTCTTTTCACGTAATATTGTGCTGATGTATAGGATCGACGATCTGCTTTACGCTGTAAATCTAACATAAGTTGAAGCCAGCTCTACAATATGCTTTTTCAAAAAAGGCGGAAGTTCCTCATCAAAAGTTACCAGAGATCAAACGTTTCATACATATTTTTAGACAACCCCTAGTTACAGCTGAGGGAAATTCACCCTAATTTATATTTGCATAAAATAGTCAGATTGCTGCCATTTTTGAGAAGAGCACGGTATCAGAAGCGATGTAAGACTGCATTAAGATGCTATACTTGGAATGGGTATAGCGCAAGATGTGCGAGCAGACAGAGAAGAAGGTATATATGTTTGAATTTTCTTTCAAGTGCTGGTGCTGCGAGTGTAATAAGAAGGCTTATATAAAACTTTAATACTAAATATATCACTCATGTAAAAAAACAGCTCTGATATATTCAAAACAATAGGAGACTCTCAATATGTCGATGACAGCATAGCGATTAGCAAATACATTTGTAGTCGAACAAAATAAGCTTACTAAATGTATAAACACAAGAAGATAATAATGACCAACAAAATCATATCATAATATATGAAACAAGGACAAGAAAAGAAAGAAAGTAGAGAAGTGAAAAGAGTGGCCAAGTGAGGAGCACAAATTTGATAAGAAAGGCTAGCACATATACAACACATAAGAGAAGTTCTACCGCGCTAAATGATACAATTAGAAATTTATCTGAGCATTCAATGTTATTCGGCAGATTTGTTACTCATTCAGCAAGATTATCACGTAAGTAGCGGTGATTTGAGCCTTTCATTTTGGGGGCCTTGTCAAGGCTAGGCACCTCGAACTCAAAGATGAGGTGCGAGTAGGGATGCACAATTCTGTTTGTACCTGGTATACACACTGTATGCTAGATAAGGTCAATATTACTCTAGGTAATGCTGATTAGCTAGGATTGTCTGGAAGTACTGGAAACGCTTCAATGATATTTGGTTTTATGCCGAGGTGGTGGGGGACCGTTGAAGGGCATCATAGCTCCCGGAGGTGGCGGGCCCATGGGACCCATCGGGGGTCCCATGGGCATAGGGGGACCGTAACGCTGGCCCATTGGAGGAGGGAACAATGGCGGTGGTCCTACCCAGCCAGGGGGTACGAAGGGGGTGGCTGGAGTGGGTGAGGGGGCTTCACCTCGGAGGAAACGCGACAGTTCCTGTTCTGTGTCGACGATCATCACAAGGAAAGGACTTCCAGGCACGTGCTCGCCATGCCATTTCACTTCCACCTGAAAAATGTATTCATTTTCTAATATAAGACAATTTTCCACACTTGCAAATCCTAACTGTAAAAGGAGCATCCTTAATGTGACCAAAGACTACTGAATACCATTTGACTATATCAAGTCTTTCTTTCTCTCAATCAACTACGACTTTCTGCTGGCCAAAAACTTAACACCTCTTTCTTTCTCAAACTTCAAGTTCTTCTTCAAAACTCACCTGATAATCTCCAGGCTCCTTTGGCTCGTACTTGCAGTGGATTGTCCGCTCATTCTTCTTTTCCCTCTGTAAATATGAGTGATCAGCAAACATAGTTCAAAAGAGATGAACCCTGGTAGAAAAAATGCAACCCACCTGCATTTCAACATTGAATGCGCCTTTAGGACCACGAACTCGAACAGTCAGCTGACCAGCTCCTGCACCCCTGGTTTCAACAACAAAGTTTGATTTGAACCTGCAAAAAAGTGAGTGCATAACATGTCCTTGCACAAATGTCAATAAACTCACATGCTCAGAATTCCGTGCTCGATTCCAGGTCCGTACACACGAACTTTGGAAGGATCTGGAGGTAGCGACACATGAATAAGGAAAGGACTGCCTCGTACGTGTTGATCATTGTATTTAATGACCAGTGTGTGCTTTCCAACCTAGAACATGGCACATAAACCGAAAATTTTCTGGAAACATTATAAGTTGGGCATTTATACCTCAGTTGGCCTAACACTCAAAGTGTAAGTGCCATCTCTATGGTCGTACAACTCGCAATACGCCAACTTCACTGGTCCCATACATTGCGCTGATAGTTGTCCTGGAAGTAGACAGTCTTCGTGAACTTACTAAAATTTGCTAGAGGATCCTTACCTGGACCAGCGCGTCTTGTGTCGATCACAGTTTTGATGTCGTCGTTGATGATTCCAATTTTCAAAGAGGAGCTATCAACGGATATCAGCTCAGCCGGAGATGATGCTGTATCGGCGGTGACCTTCAATGGTTGTTCGCCATCATTGACAGACAGCTTCAATATTGGGAATTATGACAGGACAATAAAATTCTCCATTTTTGTTCGGTTGTGGGCGGAAAAAATCTTGTTTGCAAAGAGTAAATACTTCCTGCTTTTTCTAAATTTTTTAGGCAAGGCATAGCGCATTTCGAATAGCAAAACTATGTGACTGAGACCGTATGTGCACTTGCGATGCTGCCCACTCAACTCGAATTTTTAAGAAAATCAAGTGAAATCGCAACAAACCTTGAATGGAGATCCTTTAACGTGACTACCGTTCCAAAGTATGTGAAGTTCATAGTTGCCGCCAGTCAAAGGCGTGTATGTGGCCTTCAAAATCAAGATTTTGGTATTCCATGAGGTATGAGGTTTACGACAAAATTCACCTTGTACACATTGTACCCCAGCTGCTGAACCCGAACGGGAACGTCAGCTTTTGTGCCGAACAGCGTCGCTGTCAATCGTCCTTCTGAATTTATTTCGATTTCTCTTCAAGATATGCCGTTAGGAGTAGAAATTAATAACCTCTAGATGCGTCGCTTCCGTCCACAATGAATTCATTTGGCTCTTTCAACTGAGCTCGGTGTAGACCATCACCTCGCACCATCACTCGCGACACATCATCATCGATTGAGGACGATGATTTATCCCTTGAAACATAAGAGATTCACATACGCAGTTCTGGAAAATTCATCTTACCTGACGTGTGCAATAGGGGCTACTGTCTCACGAGTCTCACGAGATGTTGTCGTCGTTGTCGTGATTCGCTCTTCAGATGAGCGGGCTCGTACCGGGAATGCGCTTTCCACCGGTAATTCATTCCAGTATAGGTAGATGGAGTATCTTCAACATGTTCTCAAAGTGACGTCTTACATTTGAAAATCTCATTTTCCTACCGTCCGGGATGTTTGGGAGTAAAGGCGACGCGGTACTTTCCGTAGCCGAGGTCGTCGACGGCCGGACCTTCACCGAGCAGCGCACTCTCGGAATTCCGAACTTCAGCACGAAGTTTGCCTACATTGAATAGTTCATTTTTGCAACGTCAGAAATCTCGGCAAAATTGCTGAAAATTTACCGGGTCCGGCAGCGGTAGCGTCGACGTCAAAAACATTCTGCTGGCCGAGGCGCAGCAAGAATGAACCATCACGATCCATGTCTAGATCGTTCACCACCACTTTTGATGGATCGACGACACGTACCGTAAACGGACTTCCTGTAACAAATTTTTAGCCAAAATCATAAATTTCACTAACTGTTCTGAATTCGCAATTACAAATAACATACCGGCAATTGGTCTGTTATTGAAGTCGATATGTACAATGTGGGCACCAACTTCCTCCGGCGAAAACACCACTTCGGATGTGCCATTAGGTCGCCGCATAACTTTATGCCGAACCTTGATATTGTGGTCATTTCACAGTACCGTGGAAATTTGAATTCAAGCTACCTTGTTGTCTCTGGGTCCTATGACATTCACTTTGAGACCACCGTTGCTTCCTTTTGGATCGAATATGAGGCTGGCTGGCTCGTCGATTTTGATTGAATGATCAATAGCTGCTCCATAAACGCTTGGCAGTTGTTGTTCGGATACAACTACGGTTTGTGGATAACCTGCATATGTAGAGGTAAGCTGCTAATTTTTTTGCAGTGATATTACAAGATACAAGGCATGACCAACTAGTTCAGCAAGATAACTTACCAGGAATCTGGAATCCAGCCACTTTCACGTTTATTTTATGTGGTCCCGTTTGATTTGGCAGGAAAGTTGCGCGATCCTCTCCTCCGGGAGATTTCAACATGTCCACCTTCAGAGGTGCTCCAGATGGATCGGTTACTTCGACAGTGAGATCACCCGCACCCGCTTGCCGGCGATCAACTGGAAATCAACATCTCAGATTAATAATAATCATTGTATCTCGAATTACCGTTGACTACTGTAGCATGGCGAAGGAGCAAAGCGTCTGAGAGGCCTTTGACGCGGACTTTCTTGGGATCTACCACCTCACATTTGAATGGCGAACCGACTACAGGGACGTCACCGAATGTCACTTCGATGTTGTGAGTTCCTAAACAATTTCAATATAAAGTAAACAAATCATCGGCGTTTGTAAGATTGCCTTACCAGTTTGTTCAGGAGTGAACTCAACCCAGTAACTATCATCTTGCTGTCGGTAACATCGCACTGGCAATGGACCACCGTTAGGATCTACAATACAGATTTTTCATGAGCTCCAACTTCATCTTACCCGCCCGAACACACAAAACACAGAAAACACACACAAAAACATGCAAAAAGTAAGACGTGCCAAGAGCCTGGAAATAGGAGAATTGAAATGTGTTGCAAAATAGTGGAAATTCTCATCACCTGACACTAAAACGTCAAGTTCACCACGAGTCGCATCGTTGAGGGATACCTCAAAGCGAGCGGTGCGACCTCGTTGGGCTTTGAAGAGTGCATCGCCAGTGGCACGAACTGCGCCTTCGGATGTGATGTTGCATTCGTACGGGCATTCTGAAGATTTGTAGAAATATTCGCGAAGATTACAAAACATTTAGCTTGCTATTCATTGGGCAAGAACTGGATGTATTTTAGACAGTTAATGAGCTTTAAAGCTTTAAGACATCGATTAAGCGGGAAAAAGTAGAACTGACGGAACCTATTAGTCCTAGCAAGTGATTTTTATCATAGCTGCTGAATCATCGCAGATAACTAGCATTTGAAAACAATAAATTATGAATCTACATACCAGGAAGAACGAGCCCGTCGATATGTACGTCAATCAAGTAAAGACCGCTGATGTTCGGTGTGAAAGAGCACATCAGTAAACCGGGTTTCACTCGTTTCACTCCACATGGTACCGAATTCGAGCCACAACGAATTTCTACAGAAGCCGACAGCGCTCCACTGTTCATGTAGTCAACTAAAATCTCGCGAGTCAATATTAATTATCCCATCTTTGCAGTCATTCCAAAAATTACCATTGAATTGTTGTTCAACTCCGACGCGATCGTTTCTCAAACCAATAACACGAACTGCCGATGGATCCAAAACTGGTATGGCAAATGGAGAGCCAGTAATCGGTATACCAGCAACAGAAATTGCCAGCTCGTGACTTCCTTCCATCTGAATTTTGTTGTTAAAGTGAATTACAGAGGTAAAAATGTTTCAGTGTATCAAGGGGAATGGAAGAAGTTCTAACAATAAGATGGAATGAAGAAAACACTAAATTCGTTATATGCTGCAAAAATAGTGTAGCAAAAAAGTGAGAGATAGAGTTCTCACGAAAGTCTTCGAAGAATAACATTTAAAGATTATTTAATCAATGGAGAAGCCTTTGGAAGATCGAAATGATGCAGGAATCAAATTTTGGCATTAGGTTGTACGAGATTTTGGGATCAAAGCAGTGAAGGGTGCCACAGAATTTTTGCACATGGAACATTTTGAAAAAGTTTTATCCTCTTTATTTCGTATTTTTCACATCTAACGTGTAGAAATTGAGTAAACAGACAAATAGATGATTACCTTGGGAGTCCAAGAAGCTGACCATAAAGTATCGGACACTTTCGATAACGTCACTGCTTGCGAATTTCGGTCACGATCTAAAAATAAGCTAGTTTGAATGATACTGGTTCGATATAAACAAAGAACTTTAAAAGATTTACCGCGTATTGTAACATCGACCTCTTCCTCGAGCCCGGACACGATTAAAATCTTGTGTTCCGCTCGTTCGCTGACGACTTCTTTTTTCACTTCCGAGACGAGTTGGACGGCATTCACTGGGTCGACAACCCGTTGAAGCACTCGCTCGCCGATCGCTCGACCGTCGACGAATGTGTCGATAGAGTGCGAGCCAACCTGCGAATAAATCATCAAGGAAAATGAATGAACAATTCCGTGGACTTGCACATTATGCTAATATATCAACAATGGCAAAGCAGAGAACAAATAAATTCTGAAGACGGTAGAGATGAGAGCTGCACCTACTAGCCCACATGGTGGGTTCAGGCGTGGTCACCTACACACACTAATTCCGCCAAGGACACAATCACACAATAATATGGAATGTGAGCCGGTCGCCGATTAGAGAGAATGTGAGAAGGCTGTGGTTGTCAGAGAGTTGGCGGTAAAAACAGTTGCGATATGGGTAGCAATGGCAAAAACTTGTCAAGCTAACTTTCGGCTACTTCCTAACTTATTTCCATCAGATTAGGCAGCTTGAGAAAGCATGAGAGAATGGGGAAAGCTTCGAAAGGCAGTCCAAGACAGATAAGAATAAACTGCGCATGTAAAATTACCTCTTTAAAACGACATGAGGCTCGCACAATCTTGTCCGGTAGCTCCTCGATCTGCACTGGCAATGCTCGCCCATGTGAATCTCGAATGTCCACACGAACTCTGTCCTTATTGTCGGCGTCGACTGAAAAAAATAACCTCATTTCGAGGAAAAAAGGCATTCAATTTCGCGCATGTAACACTCACTGTCAAATGAATATCTTTTTCCAGTGAAGCATACCGTAGGAAACTTTGCTCGACCACTTTGAATGGGAACAATGATGGGCGTGTCATTCAATTCTTCTCCATCAAGATATATAATGACTTCGTGTGGTCCTGAAAAAAGGTACTTCACTGCTTAGTAGAAAAAATTCAGGAGTTCTCAAGTGGCTTGCCTCTGATGACTGGTGTAAATTCCGCATAGAACGATTCTTCTCCCTTCGTCAAAGCGACATTCGGCCGACTTCCGTCCGGAGCTGCACCATAGGGACAAGCACATAACACAGAACACGCACACACACGCAACACAACCCACAGAACAGAAAGAGAATAGAACCCAAAAGAGCCCACAAGACGCGCAGAACCAAGGGACACCAATGAACATCAGAGACGCACGCAGTGGACGATTGCTATTCCGATTCCGTCGCCGACGTCGGTTGAACGGCAGCGACGGAACTCACAACCTTCCAACCAAGAACAAAAGCCCAGGACTCACCAATGACAACCACATTGCACTCCGCAGCTCGTCCGCTTGGATTCGCAATCGTGAAACCGCGTTTCTGGCCAACCTCAAAAGAAGTGACTCGTTTTATGATCCTCTTCCAAAAATTATTTATCAATCTGAGGTTCTGTTTATGCTGACCTGCGCATGCTTGAGGTCGCTGCTCAACGATGTCTTCTCCACACGATCTGTAGAATAACGCTCCGTACGTTCCGTACGTTCCGTACGCTCCGTACGCTCTACAGCATGTCGCTCCAGAGGAAGCCCCGTCAATCCCGTTGACACCGACGGGGCCATGGTAGCGAGCGGAGCCGCGGCAAGTGCAGACGAAGGTGCATTTTCCACCATGCACCTCATTGGCGATCCTGAATAGTGCAGTGTTCCGTTGGTACAAATTTTGAAAAACCGGTATGAATACCTGGCACGCTAACACCGTTAAATCGTACGCTTATCACATGTTCTTTAGCCTCTTGCGGCGTAAAGGACACCTTGAATTTTGCCTGGCCCTCGGCCTGGACAAAATTTGGCACATTACGATTATCCACAGATACTATAATCTCCATGTTACCAGCTCCAGCTCGGGCAGCATCTAAAACTCCATTAGAGTAATTTGTATATTTTAGAGGTGCAAAAATTAGTACCTATGGCAAAAGTGCATGGCTTTCCAACGATGGCTTGATCACATTGGCTGAGCCGGGCCATTCTCGCATCATAAGCTTTGGCGGTGAAGGGAGAGCCGGCAATGGGCTCGCCGAGCATCGAGATGTCAACCTTGACGAGAAGAGATTTGAAAGGAAAAGTTTTCAAGAGTAAATTCTGTTTACCTGATGGTTTCCGACACATTTTGGAGTGTAAGTAGCCACACACATGGTGTCATCGTGACGACTGCGTGAGATGTCCACGGGGAGATCGTTACCCTGTGGATCACGAACTCGTACCTCAGGTTCGGCATCGGCTGCTAGATTCAGGATACTCAATAGGTGGAGAGGGCTTTGTGTGATAAAACTGACCACTGGTTTGGATTTTGATTTCAGTTAACTCATCGACTGGCACTCGCTCAAGTCCAGGTCCAGAAGCAGACGCTTGGGCTGCAGACACGAGTTGGCAAGTGAATGGTGAGCCTAAGAGAAGTATTCGTTGAATTCATTATGGGGAAGGGGGTAGTAAAAATTTGAATTTACCTGGCACCGGTTCATTATTGAATCTGATCGTAATGGTGTGATCAGCATTTTCCTTGGGTACAAATGAGATGTCATAACGGTGTTGTCCCAGAGCATGGGCCATAGATGGCACACGTCCATCATTCACAGCTACTTCAAGGTTTCCCACTCCAGCTTCGGATGCATCCACTAAATCAACACTAATCTAGTCACTTCATCTTTTACCAAGCTAATTGCTGTACCTGTGAAATAAACCGGCTTATCCAAAAGACCCTTTGGAATAGCACCGACTTTGATTTTTGTCGGGTCGTAAGCTCTGCATGTGAATGGAATTGCCGTTACGGGTACTCCACCATACTTAACCTCGATGTCATGATCTCCTACAAGAATAAATAATTTAGCAAAGAAATTATCCATAATGAAAATTTGTGCCTACCGACAACCTGAGGTGTAAAGTTCACTTGCATTACACCTGGCTCAATTTCGATGAGTTCTGTTCCAATTTGGTTCTTTTTGTTATCTAAAGCATAAATCCATAAATAAACCAAATAATGGCAAAAATGAGAGACACGACAGCGAAATTACTATTTCTTACACGCACACTTGCTCACGGGACAGGGACTTGGACAAAGAAAATATAAACTTACTTGAATCATTTTAACAAGGACAACTAACAAAACTGAAACAAAAGCGTTATGGACAAGGAACAAAATGCATAGACGTCAACAACAATCAAAAGTGAGATTGTGTACATTAGCCAACAAATAACACACAAATCCTGGTGGCCACACAGGCCTTACCTGTGATTGTAATTTCCAATTGGTCGTGTCCAGCAACTTCAACAATGATACTTGAAGGTTGACCAACTCGCGAAAGTGACGGGATTTTTGTCACCGAGGTTTTAGAGACAGTCTTATGCTTGCTCTGTGAAGAAAAAAGAAATAAGCATGCTTTCCATATCTAGTGAGCCGATAAAGAACTATGTGTCCTTACCTTCTTATCCCTTTTCAGTGTGGCTGCCTTCTCCTCCTTCTCGCGTTTTGCACGCTCCTTCTCCTCTTTCTTCTTATCTTCCTTCTCCCTTTTCGTATCCTTCTTGGAAAGGGAAGGTGAAGCCGATGCGGTTTCTGTCATTGTTTCCGTTAGTGGTGCAGGAGGGTCAGTTATGAGCACTTCGAATGGCGAGTCTAAAACAGAAATTACTCTGACAATGTGTAGGTGAGGACATCGCACCCGAACAACTCACTTTTGAGCACCTCCTTATTGAAAGTAATGTTTACAGTGTGCTGTCCTCGAGATGTTGGAGTAAACGTTACGAGGAACTTGGCGGTGCCACTTTCAAGCTGGGCTACATGTGATGGGATAATCACACCGTCAGCATCCTTTATGGCCATTTCAAGGTTGCCAAATCCTGCTCGACCGGCATCAACTGAAAATCAGTATATTACTGAAAAGGTAATATTACTTATGGCCGAAACTTACCAGTAAATTCTACTGTGTCATTCAGATTCGAGCGGGCGGGTATTTCGCCAACGATGATCTCCGAAGAGTCATAGACACGAATTGGGAAAGGTGAGAGCGGATGCTGGATCTCATTTACATAAGCGAGCACCTAGGAAAAGAAAGCTATCATAAACAAGGTAAGGACAGCTGTTTCTATGCCATATTGAACAACAAATTCAATATATAATTCAGTAGAAAAAGAAATGTTTTTCGAAAAAGCAAAAAATGCTTACTTTATGAGTTCCAACTTCCGTAGGTCTGAATGAGATCTCGTATTTGCTGCCGCTTTTTTTCACCTTTGTCTCAAGCTCTGGCTGAGTACCAGAAGCAGCAGCTTGTCCGCGCATAGGGGCTTAAAAAGGGAAAACTATGTGAATATCTGAAAACATCTCAAGTTCTATACGTACGGAGTACAACAACACGAAGCGTATCTTCTTTCGAAAGTTTGAGATTTTCCAGCTTTACCTGAAAGGAAAACATATGAATTCTCAATAAGAAGTGGAACTACATGTAAATATAGAAGTGTGCATAATTTTAGCGAGAAATCAAAAGATTAAATGATTCATACAAAAGCTAAACTATACACTAACTTCAACATCCTTTCCTCTTTTCACTACTTCATGCTTCGATGTGAACTTGCTCTTGCCAAATTCAAACGGCTTTCCTTCTTTACCATCCTGAAGCGTTCAAAATGTAAAAAAGGTTCCAAAACTGCTAAAACCTCCTGAAAATTCACAAAAAAAAAAAACACGGAAATTTACCTTCTTGAATTTCATGCTTGTTTTCGGCGTCGTATGAGGTGTTGACTTTGCTGACGGTGCTGGCGAATGCGGCAGTTCAGCAACCGGTTCCAGGGCTTCAACTTGTGGTGGGCTCTATGAAAATCCAACAATTATCACATAAAAAGGTTCAAGGCGACATCCGGAAAGCTTCATATGGGTAAAACTAACAGCTGCGTCCACAGTCCTTTCACCAGTGCTTAGATTGTCTCTCGATCCAGCAACTTCGATGACGTCGTCACGGATGTCCGATGCTGGCTCTTGAATTTCAATCGATGGCCTGCAAAGCACGGAATAATCTTGAAACAGTGAATCAGAAATTGTTTGGTATTACTCATGCGACGATCGTTTTCCGTAGCCGTGCTTCTGAAGGATCTTATCGTCTTCAGCACGGACTCGCCGGTATTCCATATTTCGCTGCACCTCATCTGCCAGAGGCAGCGGCGTCAACTCCTTTGTTCTGGAACAAAAAAACTTAGAATGAAAAAAAAATTTCTTGCTATATCTGATAATCAAATTAAGTTGACCACGCCCTTCGGTCTCGTTGCCCAAACATCTTGTTTTTGCATTTGCAAAGAAACGGAAAAAGCACCAACAATTTTTTTGCCCTACGTTCGTTGTCTTAGCTCATTTAGCACTTGTCCGCATTTGTATCGAACAAACTTTATGAAAGATTGATTTAGCATCAAGCTCTACTACCTGCATCATTATAAGTCTAAAAGTTTTAGTGGTGATTCTTTACAGTTTTTTGGTATGAAAGATTCCATATTCTGGTCTTTCGCCGCCGAAGTACAATTATTTGAGGAATGCAAACTGCAAGAAAATCTAAACAGGTTACCGGCTCAGTTTTTCGGTTGTGTCGGTTATGGGCTCGAATATTTGAGTTCTCTCTTCCGTTCGTGGTAATGACGAAGGGACTTCGCCACCTCGGTTGATAAACTGTAAAAATTCGGCAATTAGATTATATAACAAAATGACTATTTGATCAAATGATATCATATGATTTTGCTGAGGAAGCTCAATTCACCTCCGACTGTGTTCGCAAAAAGCTCAGATCATCCTTCGCTCCTTTCTTCTCCTCGACTGGACTGCCTTTACGAGGTACTGCTTCTGGTCTTCTACAATAGTATTTGTTATTTTTTTTTAGAACTATCAGAATAATGTAACTGACTTCTCTGTCTCTTTGTCCAGCTTTTTCGGTGAGATCGTGTAACTCGTGCGTGTGATCGCAGTTGTTTCTGAGTAGGTAGTACTAGGTTCGTCGTAAGTCTGTAAAAAGCATTTATAACTTCACAGAAAAGGACTATAATACTTTCGAATGGATAGTATCAAAAAGAAAGATGCCATTTGCGCTGTAAATGATGCAAATTAGTGGAAGGCAGTAATAGACAATTCTTTTATATCGATATGGACATTCCACTTGAGTTTTCTTGCTGCATCTAGGTAACGAAGAACATTTGCGTTCTTGCGATAGAGTGCATGTCGCATCGGGCGAATGTGAAATTAAGAGACTCGCATTGAGAAGAAATTTGGCAAAAGAAGCTATGAATTTGTGGTCAAGATAGCATTACGAAAGAGTTGGAAGTATTTGAGTCAATCGTTGCCTTTCTCATCATTTGACTTTCAAAAAGGAAAAGTTTGCATAAAAGTGCAAAGTTAGTGAAACTTGTAAGATAGCTTCGAACCACATGTGAATCGCTAAATTTATTTCAGTGCATAATTACTGTAAGGATCAAGTTTGCGATGTTAAGGTGTGCGTTATATTGGAAAGGGAAATTTTGCGGGGAGCTATTTATAACAGCATGAGTGCTATTTTCAAAATTAAAACAATACTTTGTGATAAAGGGACTGAAAGAAGTGAAACTTTGAAATTCTCAATACGCACAATCCACGGAACAATTTCAGCCGAAAACGAGCGAAAAGGATGCGAGAGAGGCGTGTTGTAGAAATAAGTACGACAAATTTCGCGCATTGAAGATTCTGATTCGCTTGCAAGAATTACAGCATATGAGAAAAGGTAAGTTCCTTAGAAAATTGAAAATTGTTAAATTTCGCAATTATACCTGTGATAGGTAAAGCCTATCATTCTGCAGTGTCCATCGAATAACAGTTTATCTTGCAAAAAAGTGAACAATCTTGAACACCAACTATTCTTAACCCTACTCGCGCATAACGGGCCACAATCGACATAAAAAAGCTAAAGTTTGACGAATTGCGCATGTGCCATTGTAACAAGTGTGTCGTCTTGACGAGTGAAGGAGAACAACACACATGCGACGACCCTGTCGCTACAGCTAAGCTAATTGGGACACTAACAGGAATGTTACACTCTACATACGGGCGTACTCGATCTCTTCCTTCGCCTTCTTCGGGCTGGAAAATTATCGAGCCAGTTGTACTCTGACTGTTTCATCGCTATCGATAACAGGAAACAGTCACTGCAATTATAACACACACCAATCAGATGCTAGGCTTGCGAAAACGAGAGTGTGGGAAGATTCGAACCTAAGCTGAATGGGTGGATCGCATGAAAGAACATGCAAGGTAAGCAAATCAGCGTAAAATAAGGAGCATGGCCTCACTGGCGATTTTGCACCTAGTGCCTCGTCAAAAAAAATTTCGATTTAACTTATAGGCCAATTGTAAAATCGTGACTAGATTTGGCTGCCGTCTTTGCGCCCAAAAAAGCAGAAAACATTTATACAAAACGACATCACTGCAACTCTCAGCCCAGTCTCTTCCCATGTCTAAATACTCTCATACAAAAGCAAAAAATCATTCGAGTAGAGATGAAAACTTAGAAAATGCGGTTGTCGTGAGGTCGTGCGTGTCGCGCGCGTTTGCACCACTGTCACGATTTTTCGAATGCCCTATACTGGCACTTGAGCAGTAGATCTAATAAGGATTTTTCTACCACACTACACTTACTTCTTAAGATACATCTGAGATAGCTTAGCATTTTATTCTTTTTTTTTGCTAATTGCCGAGATTGCCCGAGCTATCACTTTGCAGAATTTCTAAGCTGAATTTAGCATCTATGTAAATGTACAGAACAGTAAACGTGATTCGTCTTTGTCCTAAAAAAACAGAAAATGACTACTTTGTAAAGGTTGGACATCAGTAAGGTACCCTCAAACATAAACAACAACATCAACAACCTTGATTTGTGCTTGATTAGGGCAAAAACAATTCCAGCAGGAACCTTTTCGCAGACTTTACAAGAAAGGAAATGAAAAAAAATATTTTTGCTTGACCTGCTTTTTCCGTGCCGGGAATTTTTGATAGAGACAAGATCATGTAAGAAGCAAAATCAGCTGAATACAAAAATTCAGCTTGATTCTGAAGTCAAATGCGTGGATCTCGTAGCAGGTTCATCAGCTCTCTCCTTCTTCCCCTTTAGGGTTTTTGTAAAATTCGGAGTGACCAAGGGAGCTAGCTACTCGAACGCAACAAAAATGTCTGTCGAGGATTTTGACAAAATTTTAGGGTGTAAACTATTTGAGAAAAGCTCTGTCAGACTCTGGCACTGCTTCTCTTTACAGACTGAAGGTAGCTTCTAATTTCAAGGCACATCTCTTTTTTCAATCCAAAGCACCACCTATCTTTCGTGCCCCGATACGCGCAAAAGACTGTGCACGTGTTATAACCAAGAGTGTCAAGCGTGACGAGATGGCAATGAGAAGGTCAATAGTACAGTTAAAAAGAAAGCAAGAGCATGGTGAGATGTGAGAAGATCTTTTTTAACAGGAGATTTGTAAATTCAGAGAAAACCTGGCAAAAAACACCATCACAATAAACAAAAAGCTATGAGGATCACAACAAGTAAGTTCTCTTGTAGAAAAAAATGAACGTCATTTGATATGACAGCAAAGTCACATTCTAAGATGAAGACTGGAAAGTCAAAGCAGGGTGGACAAGTTTTTTCTTGTTGAGCTCGAGTTTCCGATGTTGTCAAATTTGGTGAACGACAAACGGGAGCCGCTCTAATTGCAGAACTAAGCACAGAAGTGCAAATACAAGACAGGATGGTTCGCAAAGCCATTTTTAGTCTCGATTCATTGTGATTTTGCACGGTTAGCAGAAATAGAAAAGACTCCAAGTGTGGGTAGCAGGATCTAGGAGAGACAGGCTAACAAATTGTATATGTAAGAAAAACGTAGTAGTTAGAGATTTTTATAAGCAGCAAGAATATTACTGTACGTTCTGACAGATTTTTTTACAAAGTGGACTGCTTTTTTGAGAAATGTGGATTCAGATATGAAAAATGAGAATGGAGCCAATCGTCTATAGCTCACCTTTATTGTGGTAGCAACGGAGACCGAAGGAGAATCATAGTCGGGAGGTGGACTTCGAGCCCTAGAAAAAGTGCATTTTGATATCTTTTTCAAGGTGATCAGCCCTATTACCTGTACTCTTTCTTTTGGTCTTCAGCCGAAATGCTTCTAGACGGTTCAGGAAGAGGAGCATGTGCCGGAGCAGGTGGTGGTTCCTCACGTTTTCGCTCGAACCGCTCATAAACAGCAGAGTACTCAGGAGATTCAGGTCTTTGCTAGAATAGTAGTGAAATTAGTATACGAACTATCGTGGTAAGTAGAATATGGGATCTAACCTCACGCACGGACGGGCTGGGCCGGTCACGAGATGGCTCTTTTTTCTCTAGTGTCCCGTTGTACGATCGCGGCGTGTATCTGAAGTATTACATCTTGTGCCGACATCCAAACCCTTTACAGTAATTTACAAGAAAAAAGTTCATTTCTCGATGCACCCACCTACTCGGAGACTGACTCCTGTCAATCGTCACGCTACCTGGTTGTCCGTATTGTGCAACTGTGTATCCAACGGATGATGGAGAGAATTTATCTCGCTCGGCTTGCGCTCTTCGCCTTTCGCGTTCTTCTTCAGCCGCCACGGGGTCTATCTGTTCAACGCGGCGGACTCGCTCGCCAGTTGCTGGCGATGGAATGTTTCTGAAGTGATGAAGTGGAAAAGAAGAAATGCAAAAAAAGGAGAAAATAAATTGCGCGATGCGGACACACCTGTATGGAGACACCACACGGTCACTGGTGCGTGAACGAATTTCGTCTCTACTGATGGGTGATGGTGACCTGAAACAACTTTCACTGAGAACCCCACTTTTCCAAATTTCCTCAGTTTCCTTCACACCTGTAGGCTTTCTCCTGCTGTCGTACTCCTCCAGCAAACGGACTCTGATACTTCCTTTCATAGCTAGTAGGTGAGGGTGAGCCAAAGTGGCGGTCAGCAAGATCTCTTGATCTAAATCCCCTCTTCAACTCGATTCATCATAAACATCACATTATTGACGTACCGTACACCAGAAGGCGGAGAAGGCGTGCGTCTATGGTATGTGGTTTGATCATATGTTCTAAACACGAATGATTGTTTTGGAAACCATTAATTAACGCGAACAGAGCAGGAGAAACGAACGTTTTTGGCGGTGATGGGCTGCGATGAGTTGTCACCGTGGTTTCTTCGAAGTGCCTTGACCTGAAAACATGTAAAGAATGAGTTGGTTTTCGCAAAGTGTTTACTCATACCGAGATGGATCACTAGGGGATAGGGTCCTATCTGTACCGTAGATCCTGTCATATGTGCTACTCGCAGCCCATTCACGATTGGGTGAAAGTGAGGAGCTAAGGCGTGTGGATGTGGGAGCATAGGACTGCAAAGTGGGTGAAGGAATGTGACGCGAGGGATTGTAAAAAAACCAAAGAAAAAAAAGCGTAGAGTTTACTCTGCTCACTGAAGTCCACGGCTTTTCGGCTCTTCCTCGAGCTTCGCGCAAAAGCGTTGGACTTCTTGGATTCAAGTTCTCTGCTGATCGTTGATGGCTGTGCTGAAGCAAGCCAGGCGATGTGGGAGCTCGAGACTGTCGGAATGCTCCGGCTACACTTGAACCACCTGAATTTTCAATTTTCATTTTTTTCATAGCATGGTCTCTGTTCTCATGACGCATATATACGTTGAGCGATGTGGGCAGACTATGCGGGACTGAAAAGACCGGGTAAAATCAAGTAAATTTCTCTGCCTGGCTGTGCAAGTACACAATTTTCAGGATGCTGATGAAAGAAGAACGCAAACCATTCAGGTAAAAAATAAACGATTACTTGTGCGTACTTGAACACTAATGTGCCTAATTGTAAGAAACCAATGGACCTAGAAAAATCAGAAAATACATCAATCAAGCCACCCGCCCAACTTCATCCTGAATGATCTGCAATTGCACACATTCACGAAGAAATGTACCGCTGTATATCTCAGTCGAAAAATTATGCTTGAGAGCTGTTGCAAAATGGTGTAAGAGCCACTTTTTTTATTGAACGGTTTTTCCATCTGTCCACTTCGCCCATCTAGAGACCTCCCAAGCCATAGATCTAATAAGATATGTTGCGAGAAGCTTCCAAAGGCGCGTAAATCGCTGATTACATTTCGGTCGTCTCCGGAACTTCTTGATTCTCATAGTCAGCGCTGATTCCGGCTAGTACGGCCAATTATACGAATTGGTTCTCGGCATAAGAAGAACACGGGATAACGACAGGTCAAGTTCTCTCATATTAGCCTCACACAACTTCTGAGTCTTCTTCAAAGGTCATTCCACTATGTGATAGCAAAACGTTTGCAGCGTGATGTTTCAAGCGTGCTTCGGACGTGTTGCTCTCTCCACACAACACGGGCGGAGGTAAGCGGCCTTCCACTTGATAACTAGTTATGGAGTGCGACACGCGTATTATCCTAATCTGCTTTCATGTGTACAGTCGGCCGCACAATCGCAAAGGAAGAGGAAAGTGAAGTGTGAACGGTTTGATGAGGTGTGTTGTAGCAATGCTGGAACTCGTCTCTCTATGCACTCGCGTAGAGCATTTTGGTCGTGCGCTTTGCGCTATCACAAATGCTCGAAAAGGCCTCACCCATAAAGCACTCAAAGTACACAAAAGGTTCACTAGTACTAGATCGTCATGTTGTGGCATCGCCCATCACAAAGTATGCAATTTTTCATAGATTCGTAAGACTTTTACACTGTCATCTTCTCTGGAATGCGCCCGAAATCGCAGAATAATTTCTATTTCCTATAAGGGCCTTGACTAGTTCTGGAATGATAGCGACAGTAACCGCATTCCAAAAACATTCACAACGCTGCATATCAAACGAACGCCAAATGCTCATAGCGGAAAGACATTGGAAAGGAACTGTTACAAACCTGCAGAGATTGCAGTGGAAACGGCAGTTGGCGTGAGATTTGCTTGAATGACTTCACCGACCTGCTTCGGTAAAATTTCTACCTTGATCGGGCATCCTGAATGTCAAAACATTGGAAGAAAAATATGTGGCACTACGTAAACAACGGCATCCGCACAAAATAATGTCATTGTTTGATGAGTGTCAAATTTGCTGCTTATTGATATTGTTTACAGTTAAGTGAATCGGAAGGTCGCGGCACAATTAAGAAGAACACGGTTAGGAGCGAATGACCATGAACATTTATGACTGTTTATGTTGCAAAAGGGTATGGGCATGGGCAAAAAAAAACATCGCGAGCATCACTGCTTGAAAATATGACAAAAAACAAACCATGCACTTGTTCGCCATTGAATGTCACGTCTATCACGTATGTGCCAGGGTGTTGAGGAATGAAAGTGACGAGGCATCTGGAAAGCAGTCCTTTTTGGGGTTGGAGTGTGTTGAAGAAGGGACTCACCTTCCGGCACCCTGCATCTGAACGTTGTTCGGCACACGTCCTTGGTTCACTGAGATTTCCAGCTGGCCCTTTCCGGCGTCGACGGCGTCAACTGCAGGGATAACATATAACTGCGAATAATAGTTGAACTTCTTCCGCCGCTCATCCACCATCCGTGAAAGAGGACGGTTGTCATCAGCGGGCGGAACACTCATTACACGCGACTGGGGGAAGAGGGGACGAGGTGATGCCGTGAAGTGAGGAAGGAGGTAAGCACGGGCGGGGACCGAAGCGGGGTGATCGGGACCAGAGTCAGCTAGTTACGGCAGCGGTACTGTGTCGACTGATCTAGCGTGTTGGCTGAGCTTTCAGATGTGGAAGGGGTGATGAGGGATGGGGCAAATTGAATGCGGCGTGCTGTATGGCGCGCAGAACGACTCACCGACAAACTGTACAGGATGCCCGACTGCACCGCCCCCGAGCGGTTCGAGCCTCACTCGATCCGCCGAGTAGCCTGCCACCGACAACGGACTGCCGTCCACCTTCCGTCCAGCGATCCATACCGTCAGATGATGCTCGCCGACCTGCAGAAACAGAAATTTCGTTCAATCAAACTCCCGCTCTCCGCCACATGCACGTGTTTTTCGCGTTTATTGTTAGTGCTGCAACTGTGGCCGCCGCTCGCAGTTCCTATTTGAGCTGCGCTTCGCGCCGCATACTATTTCTATTTCATTCTGCGCTAGATTAGCTGCGATTCTATGCGAGTTCACCTACGAGTGTGGCCTGAATCGAACTTTATCAAACATTAGTGTATTTCATCATACTTTAGTTATTTAGTACATAAGAGGAAATTGATTCGCATAAAGCAACCTGGCATTCTGCCAGAGCACAAAGCACTCTTCAATTTTTGGCAAAAAGTATAGTTTTACCGTGCGTCATCTAACTTGGAAGTTGCTTTTTTGTGGAATTTGTAAATGCTAACTTTTTCGTGCTGATCCCTCCGACCACCTATCGTTACAAAAAGTAGGATTATTATAATCAGATTTTTTGAAGGAATTACGCAGAGTTTTTATATGACAGCATATATAATTAATGCGATAAGAAAAAAAGATGGCTCATGTGTTTGTAGAAGGGTTCACGCGATCTCTCTATCTCTCAGCTAACTGTTCTCGTTGCCGAACGCGTTCATCAACAACTTGTTTGCACAACCACTATTTGTTGCCTATAGTATTATAGCAAAACTGGGCAGTTATCGAAACAGGCTCATTGATCAGTTGTTCATTGCTGGCTCTGCCACTTGCTAGACGTTTTTCTAGTGTTCGGGCGTCGCAGCTACCGATCCAATCATAACGCAAAACGCGAATCACATTTACACTAAAAGAGGCCATGTCATGAAGAAAATGCTACCAATTTAATCTTCGCAAATTTTTAGGTTTTTGGTATTGTACGCGCGGAATAACAGAGAAAGTGTGCGAGTTTTACTCATATGCAAGGCAAAATTACTGCGCTTTGTTGCAAAGAATTAGAGTCAAGCTTTTTCGCGAACAGCGCTATGGAGCACAAAAATGTTCTCGCACATAACATTCTCATCATCATCGAAAATTGTGCCATGAACGCCATGAAATGTCATTTGGCCGTAATCTGTGCCAGCAATGAGGACAACACATCCACCTCTCGCCTGTACTTTGGCTGTAATGTTTGCAGTTTTTCACTACTCACCTGTTCTACGCGATACTCTGCTGTATATCGACCATTCCCACGTGGTATTATATGCACCGGAAATTCACGGCCGTCAGGTCCTGAAGTAGCTTATTTAAGCGTAAATCTTACGAATATCACGCGAAAACTCAAAAATTACCGTAAATTTTCGCTTGAATATCACTCGTTTCCAATCCTTCGCCAGTGATTTCGAAGGAAGCTATCTTATTGATTGGCGCACGGACAAGCCCAGCGCCAGAAAGCTCCGAATAGTATGATGTAGTACTAAATTATTGGAAATCATTTTGATTAATGTTAGAGAAGAATTTTAAAATTTTAAAGCGTGAGTGATTGATGCTTTCCGCCGTTAAAAGGTGTCATGTGACAAGAGATAAGAGACTGCTACCGTAATACCTTTTTGGAGGTGCACGCTAAAAATTTTGCCCGAACGACGTGTCAGCTAACACTTACTGCAATTATGGCTAAACTTTAGATGTCTATGTCAAAGGTCCTTAAAAATTTTAGGGTATGCACATCAAAAAAGTCAAAAAACGGTCTGTTATCCTTCACACTTTCACTTTTTCATAATTCTTTTTTGGTAACGGTATCAATTTTGGCCCTCTAGTGTAACCCGCCAAAAAGAAAAACTCATTAGATTCTATAGGCTTTCGGAATTGGCCTCGTCACTAAAGAATGACAAGAATTATTGTTTTCTATTGTCATAAAGTATTGCATTTGAGAATGAAAGCAGATGCGATTTTTCAGATTTTTTGAAGTTTACCAATAATTCTAGATGAAAGCAAATGTTAAAGCAAAGGTGAGTCAAAGACGCTTATTCGCACGACTAGTTATCAACGAAAAGTCGATTGGAATTGAAAAAGCACTGATTGGTATTGAAAGTAATTAACAAGATAAAACACATGATATGAGCAAGATGGAATGTTTGGCGCAAGATATCCCATAAATAAAGGTCAACTGAATCCATAGGTGAGTCTCAAGTGAAGAGCATGAATCAAGCAGAGATTTGAACTTTTTCAGATCAGAAGCATTCGAGCAAAATGATCTATCAAAGGACAGTACCGGGTCGTTTCATATCGCCTCTCGGGTCGATCTTCAACGGGTATGTGCCACGGGCTGCCAGCAACTTCTTCGCCGTTGAATCTCATCTCAATAGTGTGCGTTATACTCTGGAAGTAAAACTCTGCTCACCTTATTCGAAGCGTAGAAAATTCGAGAAGATGAAGAACAGGTGTAGTACTCACTTGTGTAGGTGTGAAGACGGCTTTGTACTGCCGATTCACGATCTCCTTCACACGACATGGTACTCGTCCACCGTTGATCATAATCTCCAAGTTACCCGAGCCCGCCGATGAGGCGTCGACTGAAACAAACTTGGATTAGCATTCGTGGATTCACATTTCACAAAAACTTGCGAATTATTAACGCAGTTGCAAGAGATATTCCATTTCAGCAACCCAGTAATTGCGTTTTTCTAGGGTCAACAGAATAATCTCTTTGTCGGAGTGTTTTCTCATGGAATCATGCACATTTTATCAACAGGTGGCGAACAAGAACTGAATCGGAACTACCGCTCTATTCTTTGAAACAACAACACTTTTCCAAATTTGTTGAGCGAAGGGAAGGAGCAAACATTGAGTTAGTGTTGAGATTTCGTCTTTTCTTCAAATGGAACAGATTGTTCTCAATGAACTATGCAAGTAGTTTGAGTAGTCGCCATATTTGCCCTTTGTAAAATAAGCAGCCGACTTCTTGTGTAAACGATGAGATGGAGTGTAGTAACCATAATCGTTTTTACCTTTGAAGTGTTACATGTGAACCACAAAAACGAATTAGCGTCATTTCCAGAACCAGCCACAACTCACAAAATTGTCTTCTCAAAAAACGAAGAACCATTTGACTAATGCATTTCAATACTCGTCTTATGAACGAGCCATGAATCAAGGCGCGGCTGCCACAGCAGCCTGTGCAAATATTTATTGGCATTCTTAGTAAGGATGTTCAGATAATTTTTTACGAGACGAAGTGAAAGATCAGGTGTTTGAAAACGATAACATGTAAGAATCTCATGTCGAAGATGGACACAGTAATTAAAAGTCGAAACTGATGCCGCAGATCAGCTCAACGGCAACATCAACGAATGAGACATATGAGGCACATTCGAGGTAAATGATACGAACTCGATCTCGATCATATGACCGACTGTTCGTCACTGTGCAAAGAAGGTATTCGAACTGGAACAGTCGATGGCGTTGTTTTCGCATTGTTGGGGTTGAAAATCTTATAGAGGCAAACACCTTTCAAAACAGACCTTTCTTGCCATTACAAAGAAGAAGAGAGACGTGGAAGAAAGGCAAAGGTGAAAAGTGCAACAATATGCAAGCACACATACGCGATCTCAAACATCGATGTACTTTTGTGTCTGCAAATTAGTCGCACGATCTGTTCCCACGATTATTCGAGGGATTTGAAAAGTCGAGCAAGGAGCTTTGCTAGAGATCATGCTTGTGAAAATCTGAGATGCCAATAATTTTCCTACATTTTCGTGTTAGAGTGAAGCATAGAGGATTGATTCACAGAGTAAAAGAAGATGTGTGGAGGTGCTCAAGATAAGCAAACATTGCTAAGGTTCAGGAGAAAGCATAGTTCTTTCAGAAAAACCTCTGATAATCCTACACATGCAGAAAAAGCGCAAGAACTTTCAGTCAAGGAGTTAACAGATGTTCAACTCTACCGAAAACAAAGCGAATGGTAAAGAGGGAGCCGTGCCGAAGGGGAAGAGCAACATATTGCCGATCGCTGAGTTATTTGCTCCGCTCACGCGATGTGTTTGCTCTACAGGAATTATGAAAAGAGATTCCCATGGCGAGTTGGGAAGTCTTCGACCGCAATGAAGTTACCGCTCGTCGTGTATGCGCGCGGGCGCCGAATCGTATAGGTTAGTATCTTACACTGCGCGCTTGTAACTTACCCGTGGTATAGGTGAACTGACAAGGCATCTGCGACGGCTGGGTAACTCAAACGGCGTGAGCGACAGCAGAGGGCACGAGACGACGAGTGACGAAAACATGCAGGCGATTCATCGCAACAGCGCCGGTACTTCTTCGACGGGGTCGCGCGCACCTCCTCCAACACCGGAGCCGGGCGCAGTAAACAGCATTAATTGTAATGCCACGGCAGCACAGTCGGTGGGCGCGCTGTCGCGCTCGGTGACGATGTGACGACGACGGCGACGACGACCGCGTCGACGCCGGGCTCTCGGACCACAAAAAACGGCGAAAATGATGGCTGGCCTGTGTGCCTGGCCCGTTGCTGGACTCGTTTTCATGGCGATTTTTGCACGAAACACTGTGACGAGCTGACACATCCAAAATGAAGAACGAGCAATAGATGGTGCGATAACTACAGGTGCGCGGTTTTTGATACGACGATACCGTAGGGACGACATTTTTGGCTGTGCAAACATTGAAGCTAATAAGGAGCGGGTATGCATACAAACAGGGTGACTCAAGTCGCGCTGGCGGAAGCAACAATAGCTTGTCACCAGCAGACCACCGAGTAGTATCGCATACTGCTGCGATCAGCCTTATTTTACGGGTGAATATCATGACTTTTGAAAATTGGATTTAATTCGCCATGTCGCGCATCAAACTCACTTTCAAAACTGTGCTCGGTGTGCAGATCCTTGGACAAAATTCGCCTGGGTACGGCTCGTACAACAACCTTCTCCGGTGCTCCTACGTTGCACGCAAAAGGTGAATCTTGTACGCTTTGATCGAAGATTCGAACGTCGACACTGTGTTCTCCTGTAAGAATAGAATCGTTAGACTTTTACTTTTGGCAACAATCCAACAGGCCAACAAGAATGTTTGCGCTTCTCGTGGGCGGGCTGTTTTTCTATTACCTTGGGATGGGAAAGAAATAAAGCAAGCAGCACAAGTGCTTCGTAGTGACAAACGAACATTTAAAAGCCATAGTTTTCGCTCTTAAGATTTTTTTCTAAAAACTTCCAAAACCCGCAACTTAAATCAATATTTTCCTATAGGTTGTGTATTTTGTACATATCAGATCACTTTCGGCGAATTTCTCAGTTCGCACAGGGCCCCTGCTGCGAATCGTCGCTTGACTGAGTCATCATAGAAATCATAGTTGGAACAAGTCTTCTACGGGCGTTGTGGTAAGTAACTTGTAAAGACGTCATTCCAACATAACTGCTGGAACTGGACCTATACTCATCCGGAATTCCTATCAACGTCCAAATTGACATAACCATCGTTGGCAGATAACGACTGCATAGAAAAAGCAGAGGAACCAGAGTACAGAATTTGAATTTCCGGATTGGCATGGAAAGATTACAACTCGTAATTTTAATAGGTATAGAAAATTTGCAGCAAGATCAATTTAGCGCTTGTGAGATTCCACAGCGCCCTTCGTAGCAAAAAAGAAACATCAGATTCAGGTTGAATGCTTCCATATACGGAAGCGTTGATGATTCAGCTGCGTCAAGAGTGAAACGAGAAAAGCGTAATCAGCAGTAATTCGTTGGATTCCACAAAAGCACGCCTTATAGAGTAGTGAACGACCTGTGATAGAAAAACATGTTCCACTACCTTGAGACACTATAGATATTCACAATGACCTGAGTGCTTCGATTTCTCCGAGGAAAGTCAAATTCAAGTACTCTGTGTCGGCCTCGGCTACAGTTATATGTAAATCTTACTTTCATTGACTTTGTTTGCTCACTTTGCAGAGAAGATCTATGAGAGCAAGAGAGTTTCTCGCAAAGAAAGGCAAAATCTGCGCAAGGAAATTCTAATAGATTTGCTCTCTTTTTTTGACTTGAACAAAAAAGTGCAAAAGTACACAGCACTACCAGAAACAAAAGTTTTGGATGGACTTATAATATCATAAACTGCGGTGATAAAACCCTCCCAGAATGCAAGTTCAAAAAAGCGAAACCGCAAAGTAAAAAAAAAATTCGCCAAAAAAATTCCCCGAACCCGATAACACGTAAACATGCACAAATTTAACTCATCCATATCTGCAAAATAGACATACAATATCCAAGCAAAGAACCAAAAACGACAATGCACCTGCTTCCTGAGGAATCCATTCGACCTTGTATGAAACATCATCAAGCGCTGTCACCACACCATGACGGCGTTTGCCCGATGGAGCTGAAGAAAACAGAAAAAATCCCAGAAAACTCAACCAAGTTTGAGTCAACAGCGCTCTACTCTTCAGCAAGCATGAGGCGTTGAACATAAAAAAAATATAAAGAGGACAAAACGCAAAAGTTGAACATAAAAAAGAAGAAGCACAATCACTCACTAAACTAGCAAGACACCAACGGCGGACGAACGTAAGCACATACATATACGTGGCGACGACAAAAAGAGCGTCCATCGGGATAATGGCGCGACTTCCGAGCGGCTCGAGCTCGGCGGCGGCCATGCTCGTTCTATTCCTCAGAGTTGTGTGTAACTTAGACTGAGTTAGTGCCACGAAACCAGGCAATGACTGAACTCAGCGGGACAGGGACATGCACATCACTAACACACATACACACACACGCCCTTGCACACGCTCGGAATGAATCCGGAAAGGCGAAGTAAACAGAAACGATGCGAAAGGCACAGATAGGCACAGAGATGCCGCTGCTTCTGATCTCTGCGCTTTATTTGAAAACGGGAACGTATGGGTACAAAATTTACTAAATTCTGATGACCGAAAATAAATGCGAGACGTCGTCGAATGAGTTGGTTTCTGCTAGCAAATCGATGTGATTCTTGGGTAAACTGCTTCCAACGTCAGTACATAGCAAGAAGGGGGGGGGGGGATATCGCGTCGCTATGGGCTGAGTGAAGAAAAGAACAGCAAAATACTTGGGAAAAAAACCATCTAGTGATAAAGACTTCCGAGTTGGTGCATAGATCAGAAGCAACAGCATTTCACTAAAATCTACAGTAGTCTCAGAGAAAATTATCATGCCTGTAATTTCAACAGTAATATCGTTCGGTCCAGCCGCAGCAGCATGGATCATAAAAGAGGCCGGCCGACCCACGGAAGCCCCACGAAGCTGCTCACCGAATACTGATACAGCTGAGGCGTCGGCAATATCCAGAATGAAGGGTGAGCCTCAAATATCAGCGCTAAATTTAGTTGTAGAAGTGCAGAAGACACGTCAAAGGTTTTGAACCTTTCACTTCCATTCTGTTGTATAATACGTGGATTTTATATTGTCCTGCACCGTCGGGTACGAAGTTAACCCGATACAATTGCGGGGTCGACTCTTCCTCGATTGTCGATGGGATGAGACGACCGTGTCGCAGAACACTGACCTGAAACGGAAGTTTCTAGATAATGCGGGAGGTGATAGTCAAAATTTATCAACATAGAAAATCTCAGAAAAAAGAGAGTGCTTAGGATTTATGACATAGTCAAACAAGGTTGAAAAGAATCATGAATGCCTAAATGTAATGAATAATCAATGCGATTGTTACCATTGAGGCAAATTCCATAAGATCTAGGTATAAAAGTAATGTCCCGGACATGAGATTGAAGAAAAACCCGAAATATAAAATAGGTAATTGTAGATCAGAACATTTACGCACTTCCTCCTACTCTTTATTATGGAAATATTTAACTAAAGTACAACAAAATCGGACAGAAAAGCTTTAGCCTCGGCGGAATGGCAATGAAAGTGAAGATGTCAACCCAAGTGACACAGTTGATTATGAGGTTACTAGGGGTTTCGGTTATATTGCGGCTGTTCAAATTTTACTTTGTCTATTTTTTTGCAAATAATAGTGGTAATCGAATGTTTTTAATCGTTGGATAATTTTTCCTGTTCACTAATTAGTGACCGAAACCTATAAAAATTACCACTAATACAGTGACTTTTTATTATAAGAGATTGAAAAGCTGAGAAAACTGGTGCACGTTAGGTAAAATCACAATTTGAAATTTCTATCATTTACTATAGATCCTCGAAATGGCAAAGCGGAGATAAAAGTTTTTGTAGGTCCACAAAAAGCTGCATAGGATGCTAAGGCAAGCTATAAGCTTCATCGAGTGCATGAAAAGTCAGCGGAAACATTTATGGCTCTATCAAATGATGGAACTCGTTCAAATGCTTCATGTTTGTTTTTGTAGCGTGAAGCAGCATATGGTGGCAGAGGTGCGACAGTGATTCAAAATGCAAACACTACTTGAGACTGAAGGACAAAAACAAAATTCCAAGATAAGCGAGGAAAAACCAAACATAGAGTTCAAAATTTGAAATGTAGCTCGACCTGGAGCAAAAAATTCCAACATGTTTTTAAAATGATCAGCTGTTCCATTCTCGGGTTACAAGTTGGTCAAGAAATCATGAAGTAAAGCGGATAGCAGAATTTGGAGCGATTTTATCTGCGTAAAGATTTAATGTCTATGGCAATAAAAGGTTACAGAGAACTCGACGGTGGATACAGTTTGACTACTCAAGGTTTTGGATTCCCATCACCATCATAATTAATAATAATTGAAGCCGTTTAAGCCAAGCTTGGATAATCTTTGCAAAAGGCTTGTTCAAAAGATTGGTTATACGCACCTTCAAGCATTTCTTGACAAGAATAAAACTAATTTAAGATCTTTCAAAAACGAGATGACTATGATAATTTTGCTAGATATGATTTGTTTGATTTGCACTATGCTATAGGTTGCACGCTTCATTTGCTATATAAGAGACCATTGCATAAGTTATTGCCAAAAAAAGTTCGTTCATGAGAACTGTAAATTAACCAAAAACATTGTCAGACTGTAATTGTTCCAAAGAAATGAAGCGTGCCAAGTCAAGGAATCTCCAGAGAATAGGCATTGTACAAGTATAATGGAATTGATCGCGACAAGAATGCACAAGGTGAATCATGGAATATACTAAAGCGTTACAGATGGGGATGGGTATTCGAAAGGAATGTCTTTGAGAGTTCTGTGTTTTCGAAGCAAGTGAAATGGCAGAATGGCCAGAAATCGACTTGTTCACGCATCGTTGACCAAATGTGATCGCGGTTGGGCAACCGAAGAATACAGAAGAAGGGAATGCGCTCGGCAGCGAATGTCTAATCATATAGTGATCAAGTGCCAGGATACGTCGGCTCGATGCTATCATAGTCCGTATACGGTGTTGAGTGACGAAGAGAGCAGCGGCGCTGAGGCAGTGCACGATTCGCGGAGACGCGTTCGTCCGACGGAACGCCGGGCGCCGCCGACCGGCGAGAGAGAGACGGCGGCGACGATCGCCGTCCACCGACGACGACGACATTCCTTGCGATGCGATGATGGCGACACCCAGCCACCCAGCCAGCCCACACCCGATACGATACTACTGGAGACAGACTTGATAAACTAGTTATGACACTGGCATTGATCTGCTAGCGGAAACACATGCCACTGCGCTCTGATATGTGCTGCGTTTGCCTGTTTCGGATAAGCGATGTGGTGGTGAAATCAGCGCGAACACCATGCGCATGACTTGCAGCAGAGGAAGCGCGACCTGGGAGCGCATTTAGCGGCAATAAACAATTAGTAACTTTCAGTTATGCATATTTTCAAAGACATATAAAGCTAGGAGTGCGTACGTCTGCCTGGCAGAGGCTAGCATTGGTCATTACGAATTCGAGCGAACTTACATGGCGGTGGTACTTCATCTCGCATGATCTTAACTTGAGACCGCGGATAATTCCCAAATAGAACCTCCCTTGTTATGATACCCTAGCATGCTTTCAAGTAAGGTACCCTTATTTCATGCGTTCAAGGCACACCTTTTTCGATTTTTCAAGCAAGCCACTCGGAAAGAGATATACCGCACGATCTCTCAGGCAATATAGAGCACGTTATAGGGTCTTTTGGTTGCAAAGACCTTTGGCGTGTCTGGGCTGGTCGATTTTGGACAAAAATTCCCCGCGCCGTGTATGTATGAAATTAGGGTAAATCATTCCTCACTGATTTTCGTGACAGATTGAATAAGATAGTTATTACATAGCATTAATCTTGAAGCAATAATTTTTGTAGAGTCATGATGAGTGCAAAATTAAAAATTTCAATTTTTTCACTCTAAACCGGTTTCCAGGCTAAGATACACGTAATGTAGCTTCTTTGCACAATTTAACCCATTGATAAAAGAGTTGGCAGCCGTGGCCTTTTTCGAGAAAGTTTTGTTTCATCAACATTAGTCGCAGTCAAAGATGGAATTGCCTATGATGCCACAAATAGAAACCCATGCTAAAAAAGTTGAGAAAATCTTGCGGTCGTCGATGGTTTGATCTCATTTTGATCTCGCTTATGTTACTGCTATACATCTTGAGTGTTGCATTTGTAATTATGGAAGCATGAGACGGAGGAAGCGGGAGGCAGTGATGGAGTGTTCAAAATTTTCAGCTGTAAAAAAGAGACCATGTGAGAAAACTGGTATTTTCAAACAACTTCGCAAAAAAAGATGAATTGCAACGTTAGACTTGTGCATGAGGTTACATTGTAGTGAGCACTAGATTTTTTTGTAAGTGATATGTAGTACGTTGTCCTATAAGACTTCCACCAAATTCACATTTCCATAAATTTTCTTCGAAAAACTCGTGCTTCGAATATTAAAGCTAGAAAATCCTGCGCTTTCCATCGACATCAAGCTATGGCATATCACTGCGATAAAGACTGATGAAAAAAAAAACGCAAATTGGTTTTTTTTAGATTTCGGTCGCTGAAGAATAAGGAAGGCCCAATAAAGTATAACCAGCATGATTTGATGGTCCCTCTTTCAGGTTAAAAAATTTGGTCGAATGTTTCTAGGAGTAGTTATGTTTTTTGACTTTTTATTTCACTTTCCAATTTCAGTCGAGAAACTCTCTGAATAGGTATAACTTATATAATACTTTAAAAGAGACGAAAGATATTGAAAAGCCTTGTGAGTATTCTGTAATCGTTCTGTATATTTTTGGTGCATGACTTATGGAACATTCTAATGTATGAATGGAATTCAAATCGCAGAAGCACGAGGCAGCCACCAGTGCCTAATGCAGTAATCTCTTGACAATTTTTCAGACTAGGGAGTTTCTATGCAAAGCATTCCGTAAGGCTTTTAAGTAGATGTTACAAGAACTGTCTTACAGGAACAGAATGAAATGCACTTTGGGCTTCATCTCTGCCAAATAACAATAACCAATTCTTTGCGTTAGTTTTCTGCCAGAAGGAAGGACGAAGAAAGAATAGGAAGGAGGTAAAGAACAAGAAATCCAAAATATGCAAAAAAAACTTCAGTGAATTATTAGCATTTACTTACCTCTAGAGTCCCTCGTCCAGCCTCGCTAGCGTTGACATTAAACCTCAACTCTTGTCCGACTAATCCAACGTCAAGTCCATAAACTTCTACCAATCCAGCATCGAATACCTACAAATCCAAGAAAGCTGGTTTACTTCTGCAAACTCAAATGCAATGCCTCCTCACCTGGCATGAGAAGGGGCTCCCTCGGATGTGTTCGCCTTCGTATAAGATACCGATTTTCCACAAGCCTAAAGTTCGAAAAACTAGTTTGCGTCTGACCACAAATTCAATTGGAGAAGGCCTCGATTTATATGTTGTGCGATATTTCTTTCTTCCGCTGTCCCAAAAACAACCATATTTTTCTGCATTGAGCAAAGGTCGGACAGTGAGGCGAATTATAGAGATGTTAGACGCGATAAGCACATCTGCGATGGTGAACTGCCATATTGGGCACACCCCAGACGGCCGGTAAAAGGAATCATAGAGTTGAGTTAAGTCCATTTTTTTTTTCGAAAAGGTAGGACTATACATAAGTAGTCGTTTTAGGGTTGGCACGAATGAATTTTGTGTCGAAATCACTTCCAAGGCTCAAAGAATTTTCAGTCTGGGGAGAGTTTGTAGTTATGGATGTTCAAGATGGAGGAAAATAGGATGCAGTGACGATGTGTTCGAATACTTAACTGTAAAATTAGAGACTATGTGGTTATAGCCTGTAGAACACAGTATTCAAATGACCCTAACGACATGCATAAATGCCAAATTTGGTCATAAAAATTTTTAAAAACCTCAAAAGGGCGGCATACACATTCTAATCATATATCCGATGTGCACACACTGCAATTGCGCTTACCATTCCGGAATTTGTCATGGTAACGCGGTACTTCCAGATAGTTTTCCTATGTCATTTTCGTGGACTTCACCGTTCTCAGGCATATTGCCAAGTTAGAGTCCAGTACGGATTTTCCACAAAATGTATGCAATAGTCTAACAAAATTCGGGGGGCGGGGGCATGTGCAATGTGTGCAATTTCAAAAATTATTATGAATTAGCTGAAGTGGAGCTACAAAATTTAATACAAAGCTTACTTCTTGGTTTGATAAATCGTAAAATTAACAATCAAACGAAAGCAATTTGTTTGGCATACTTGGGAAATCTAGACGAGGTATGAGATCCATTGTAAAAGAGACGTGAAAGGATATGCGCCGGACTAGACGTGTCAAGAAACAGCTTTATGTTCAAATACTTCTTCTCTGATCTTCAAGATGAGTAAACTGCCAGTACGATACGAAAGTTCTAGAGTAGATCCTGCCAGATGCAAATGAAAGTGTAATGACTTCAAAATTAGGGCATATACGACTGAATTCGTAAACGAACAAGCGGATGTTGCGACAGGCTTCTATCAAACCTTCTATTGAAGATTAAACTGACGGGCGCAGGAGTGAGACAGAAGAGAAACACAAGCGAAACCGTTTGAGATCAGGCTTCACACTTATGCTGAGTCATCACCACACCTCCTGTGACCGATCCATACGGAAAAAATTGCTTTGTCAAGCCTGTTGCCGCCGCTTCGGAAATCAAGGTTTTGAGACATGGGAGATTGTAGGTAGGGTAGAAATATCAGTCTCTAAGGAAGGAAAGAGTAAACCGTGGCCGTTGTAGTAAACTGTATGGCATTAGATGTCTAGAAACACTGATCCCGATTTTGCTCTCGAAATGTGCTGAGCGATATTTGAAAGAAGTCATAAGCGCTACGCATACTATTCTTGATACGTGAAACTATGGATATCAACGAAATTGTAAGTTCCGCACTATGGAACATTAGTTACATGAAGAGCATTTAATTATATGAAGAGCATTTTGTTGAACTTGGATAACTTGCCTCAATCAATTTGATTTGAAAAGACTTGATGTCAGTCATTTGACTATGTTTTTCGCCTTTCAAAATTTTCTATGCAAAAAAGTACACAACTTTTACTTTGATTCAGAGAGAAGCTAAGCGTATGGTTTCAGCGTTCCAAGGCTCATCTACCGGTATATATTTTTCAATACAAGTGGTCATGGTCACCAAGTACCTTTTCCTTCTCAGAACAGGGCTCGGCACAGATGGCTTATAAGCAAGCTGGATATCGTTTTTGGGACAAAAAGCAAAGGGATGTCATTTTTATGGGTCCGAAATTGGCTTGTTTTTCTGATCGACATTTTGTTTTTTAGTCGATTCGGATTTACGGATAAGGATCAAAGCAGACTTCGTAAAATTTTGCAAAAGTCAGGGTGGGCGGGTTCGTTTTTGCATTTTCGGAAAGCCAATTCGTGCCAATCTGTCTCAGACGAGAAGAAATGAAATCAAGAACTTGCAAAAAGTGACAGTTCGACTTAGAGAAAGGAATATACGATTCCGTCTATACGTTGATTACACTCACCAACTTGTTGAGGTGTAAAACTAGCTGTATAGGAATTAGCACGCTTAGTCACCGCACACGGTTGCGGTCGACCATTGGGTGAAACGGCATCCACTTGAACCGATCCGGCCGCACAATCTCCATGAGCGTTGATCTAAAAGTTAATTTTTCACATTTCAATCTTTCCTAGTCATCAGCCAGCTTTTTTTTGGCACGAACTCCCTTGAATGTTCTCATTCAGCCATCGATTTTCGCTCAATAGCCTTGCTAGCTCGCTAGCGATATTATCTTGGGGTCAGCGGCCCCCTTGTCGACCACACACAGAAACAAAATAGGCAATGAACGCCGTTTTTTGTTAGAACTGTATTGAGGCTAAATAATCTAAAGCTGTTTGAATGCGCAATTCTAGCTGATTGAAGAAAAAAATTTATTCTAAAGACCGCCTAGTCACATCTTCGGAAGTTGTACTTTGTGCTTTGCCTCAGGCTACGCGCATACCGCGAGCGATTTTAGTCGCAGTGGGATTTGGCAATTTGCCAGATGTGTTCAAATTCAGTTAGAATGCACTGTATGCTGTACAACAATTGTAAATCATGAAACGCCCTATACTCTGCATGTTCTCGATGAGTTGTGAACAGCTGGAATATTGTCAAATCACGTGGCGACCAAAACCGCCTGAGGTATGCCTCAAAATGCCGAACTCACCAATCATGAATGTTCACTGAAGTCATTAACTTGAAAAATATTTAACTGTGCCAAAATCACGAATATTTACGATCATCGGAAACTCACCACTACTTCCACAATTGAGCCAACACTGCATGGTTCGGTCAGACCCGAAAAAGATACCAGCCCGATGTCAGGCGGTCTTTGAGCCATCTCCTGGTGTGTTGTGTTCTCGAAGAGGACAGCCTTGAAACAAGCATTTATATCCAAATCATCCAGAGCAAGCAGTTATGTACCTTTTCGTTATTTTTGCCTGCTTTCGGCAGCTGCTCGTGAGAAACTTGAATTTTTTGTGAGGTCTTCTTCTTTACCTGAACATAAGCTTTAATCCAAGGACAGTGTCAAGTACCCTTTGATTCAACTGAATTGGCGGCTGAAAGACAGGGCTTCGTGACCTAATTAAGGCTAGAGAGTCATCAGAGAGCACGCTTGCGAGAGAGACGCAGACTGCGTCGCGGGCGCGAGCGGTCGCCTACCAGCCGCCATTCTCGTTGTATCAAAAGGTAATAGTCCTGCCTTGAACACTGACATACCGAGCCGTTTTGTGTCTCTAATTGTTTGATAATATGAAGCCGTCTTTGCGCGAAAGATTTGTGCGAAATGTCGACGTCCGAACCGGAGTCGGACTTCTGGAGCAGCACGCCGTTGCCGTCACTGTTCGTCTGAAGATCGTTGGCACGTGTTTCTGCCACGATTTCGTCACGTGACGTCGAAATCGCTGCTCGTGACGCGGCTCGAGATTCTTCCGGTGACAGAACGTGCAATGAGATGGGGCTTGACGGTAATTCGACCCCTTGACAGTAGATTCGCACCTTTAAAAAGAGCCATTGGGAAGAGTCATTGAAAACATCCGCATTCAGAAAACAAGTTCACATCAAGTTCCAATTCAGTGGAGCCAGGGAAAAAAATGAGAACTTTGCGTTCGGTACAGGGCTCGGCACAGCTGGCACCGGGTTAAGCTGGATATTGTTTCGGGACAAAAAGCAAAGGGCATTTGTGGCCGAAATGACACAAAAGTTGCGACGTTTTTCTGGTCGACGTTCCGTTTTTTTTTTGAAGGATTTTTTAGATTTAGGTTTTAGGGTCAAAGAGGGATTCGTACGAGATTTTCAAGACCAAAGGAGACTTCCTTTCAGAATTCGGTGCCACTCCTGCCAAGCCCTGGTTCGGTAATTGTGGTTTGCAGCAGAATGGGTTGGAATGCGTTTACAATTGAGCCATGAGCAAAGCGCTTAGACGAAAACTAGTTTACAGAGATCTCTAACCCGTAGACATTTATTTGCATTATTGCGGTGAGAAATGTCAACATCCAAAATGTCATAAACCTCAGATGGAAAATAACAAAAAAAAGAGAAGGTCAACAAAATAGTTCAAGGGTATCTGCACACATGCTATGATGTATGAGATAATTAAAGATAAAAACAGCCAAAGCAACTATTCTCTCTGGAGGGCCTCGTTTCTTTACGCTTATTCTTTTAATGAGGGACTAAAATTTGAATTTAGAATATGTAATTTCATTTACAACATGTCAATTCCTTGCGCAGGAGAACGGGGTTTACAACCAAATTTGAGAGACAACAGTATTATCGAAATTATAACAAAGTAGGAAGCCATAAAATATTGCAAAGCTATCCCTTACCACCACGGGAGAGAAAGTCGTAGAAAATATGATACTCAGAAAGATCGAAGAAAAAAGAAATAAATGACGTGCAATTCATAATAGAAGGTTTGCAAGGCTGTGAGTGTAACATTCACAATAACTAATAGATTCCGGTTCCATGAACGCAAGAAGGACACAGTTTCCCTGGGAGTGATTGGAAGGGAAAATTTGATCAGAAATGATAGAGTGTTTGAGCAAATTTGTTTATGAAACGCTGAAAAATTTGGTCTTTAGAGAATGAGAATCAGTGACACTAGGAATGACGAAGATTGAAACGATTTCATTTCTGAACGCCATCAAATTTCTCTCACAGCTATTGATTATGGATCGAACTATGGGAACGGATATATCGATAGATTTTGGTTGTGGAACGGTTTAGAATTGAGAAAGTTTATATGACCATAGGGATCGTTAAATTTCGAATGCAACTCCTCACTGTTGCGAAATCTAATAAACGATTGATTTAGCTTTTTATCCACATAGATGCGATTTCTACAGCAAACAGTTTACACTGAGCTTTCACGGTCCTATTCAACCCAAAGAATAGATGGTAGACACTCTGACATAGGGTAGGGAGCAATTTCTCAAAACGGACCTGTTACCAAAACATCGCGGAGAAGAAACTGGTTTTTCACAAACGAAAGCGACACATGCCAAAATCTGGACGCTTCTAAACGACATCAGTATCATGCTCTGCACATATAGACATTCTATTCCTGCCCCTATACCTGCTCAAGAATCAACATTGAGAGTTGGACCTAAGGAAAACTGGCAGAGCTTTACTTGCTCTATAGTAGCCTTACTACCAACTTGCCCCATGTTTGCATACGCTAGAAAGTTCCGGAAATTGCCAAAGAGCCGTGATTCAGAGACGATTTTCTGCCTATTGTCGCTAATTGCGGTGACAATTCTTTTGCGTTAAAAGGAACATGACAAGAGAACAATGAAATTTATGTCTTCAATGTTCAACAAGGCGTTGCAAACTTCCTTTGCAATCGAGTTTCTTCGCTTTTTAACACATTATTGGCTCACAATTTCCGATTCCAAAGAAATTGAGAATTTTCATGTTAAGCGGAGTCTGCAATATTGCTGATCTAATGAAAGTTCTCAGTCATTTAGTGAAAGTACAGTAATGTTAACGTTGTTGGTGTTGAAGGTGGAAAAGCAAAACTTGTACAGATAGCCCTGCAATTTTGCCGTTTTAATCATGATCGAAGCTAGAGAAGTTCTTGTATAGTTCATTGGTGGAGAAAATAACAACTCTTACTTGATTGTCTTCATTTGAAGACAATCAAGTAAGAGTTATTCTATAAGACTATGTCATAATTTATAGTGCTCATAAGGAGTTGTAAACGAGCATGAGATTGTGTAGATCTAATTTCTTGGTCTATAAATCTCAGCAAACTCAAAAAATTCAGTCTTCAAGTTCAAGCTGATGTGAATATACTCTAAATTGTAACTTTTTTGTGTATTAACTCTATTGGCGGAAAAGCAAAAAGAGACTACCTATGGATGATAAGAGAGTTTTGAGTCTGTCAGGAATTGAAAATTTTTACTTTAAACCATAGTCATGTAATTGGATTCATTTTGTGATTAAAGTTTAATTCAAAGCCAGAAAATGAGATTCTTGCCATTTTTTTGCTCCATTATGCCTGCAGCTGTAACTTATTATACCGTGCTCAAATCAATATGTAGCATTTTTGCCTATTGCGAGTAAAAGGGAAAAAACAAGAATATAAATGCATATAAAAATTATAACGATCATTTAAACTGCTCCTGGGTAGACGTAGACAAGATACTAATACGAAGTTTCATAGCTTTTAGCTGTACAGCGGTAAATGGTTCAATTACTTTTTGGCTATTCCGCAAAAGCAGCACTTCTCGATTAAATGGAAAGGTTTTGCTTTGTTGATTAAACATTTTCATGTTTTCTACACATGCCAGCATACATTCGAATGCCAATGTATTGCTCAACTGCAGATCTTTGACTGTTAAAAAAGATGTTTAGCAATTCAAACCAGAACTTGAGGAGCGGTGAAATTCTGCATAAAACTGGCAAAAAGAATATTCTGCTCACGTGCGCAAGTCAGAAAACTCGTCTTATACATGAAAATTCATGTTGCCACATGAACGAAAGTGCCAGGTTGGAAAAAGAAGCGACTGAGAGGAATGTGAAGAAGGAAGAACGAAGATACCGCAAGGTAAACCAACTTACTCAAACAAAATGAATTTTCTCTTAACTTTTCAGTCACGCTGCATATTCACAGTACTCAAAAGCACTTAACGTATTATTGCGGGTTTGAACGTGACGTGCTCATGGAAAATATAATGTCATTAGCTTTCACTACCAGAGTACTTCATTTTTTGAAAATTCAGGAACTGATCGAACACGTCACGGTTCTCTCGTGTGCTCACGTTCACCTAGTGGGAAGTTGAGTAGTAATAATAAAACAGACAAAGTGCCATTTGTGGAGCAGAAACAAAATCGCTCGTTATAAATCTAATTGATTGAGCGTTAATGGTGGACAGCATTAAAATGAGTTATGGAGGCATAGATGAAACTTCAGGTACCTTCATTTGTCAGAGAGAGTGCCCGACAAAACATCCGAAAAGGTTCAGCGAATATTTTACATTTGAGATTGGTGAAGCTAATGCAAGTAGAGAGACTTATAAATAGTTCCGAACACGTACAAAAGTGGACTTATTGGGTTGATACCTTAATCTTGCATCAACGAATATGATATTGTTTTTGAGATGTTCAAAAAAGTTTTTGAATATATTGCATACTTTTTATAGCATATAGTGAATGTTGTACTTCACTATCTATATTGGGCATTCTGACCAAATGCAGAAAGTTGCTTGAAAAGTTGAAAATTATTACTATCAGTAGAAATGTTCAATTAACATGTTTTTTTTTTCAGATGGAATGAGCGGGCCATAGAGCCAAAAGCAAAATTAATATGAGATCTTAGTAGGCGTTTTATTAATTTTAGCGACCGAAATCCAGAAGACCACTTTTTGAGCGTTCTGATCAGGTTGCACCGTCAAAATATAGCAGCAAGAAATTTTGCTACAAGCATCACTAGAAGGCGCAGAATTTTCTCTTTTCAAAATATATCAAATGATTTCATTATAAAGAGGGGATTTTCAAAGTTTTTTGGTGCAAGACTGAGTTAGCTTAATAATTCCAAATCCTACGTTACAGACAAAGAGAACATGGAGGTGGAGAGGAGGAGGAGATTGAAGTCAGGACGCGATATGAAGGGAATCAGTTTGTCGCATGAAACGAATGAGTCCATCGGCACGAAAGTGCACGTTCCGAACGTGTCTTACACCGACAAAGCAAAAATTCTAGCATTGCAACACAGATAAATGCGCGAATCCAATCGAATTGTGATCGCGGGCCGCCCTGAAATGACAGGGCGCATGTCGCGACGAACGCTAGTTGGGGTGGCTCGGCCGGCCCGAACGCGCGTCCCACTACCAGTTTCGGGGCTGCTAGGTTTTTATGTAAGTAAGTGACACCGGAAAAACGTACTGACATCTACCATCATCCATCGACTTCAGCGACACTGCGTTTAGTGAACGAAAAACGCGGTGAAATCGTGCGCGAAAAGTGTGATCCGCGCGACATTTCAACGCCCATCGCATCCGGAAATCTGCTACGGTTGTGGAGTGCAAAAAAGAGCTGGATGCCAGGGCTGGTATGGCGGAAGTCGAACTTTTTACGCCTGATCATGACCATGCCGATCAGCTCGCTTTCCCGTTGTAATGCGCGATCGCTCAATTCGTTCGTCACAACCGCCATACTATACGCCTAGATATTAGTGTCATTAGCATACGACCTAGAGCGCCGAGTCCTATTTGCGTTGATCTCGTTGGCGAGATATGCCCTAGCTTTTCTTTTGAGGAGACGCGCGTCCGATATGAAACGAACACTGGTCGACTTATTGAGTGGAACGCTCCTTAACACTAAAAGAACGAGTGCGACTTCTTATGCTGGTGAGGTCAAGGATAGGCGCGCTAGGAGGAGGACAGCAGAAGGAGAGATGATTATTCAGATACTGTGGAAATGGGACATGTGCAATGGGATGTATTCCGCTGAGCTCGCAGGAGTTTGGGATGAGCAGAAAGCTTTTTGGAAAATTTTATTCAGAGCCGTACAGAATATTAGCAGCATGCCAAGTAAACGAGAACGGGTTTTCCTTAGAAATTTTTTGCATGTATAGAGAAAAAAACAAAAGAATAAGTGTGTGAAACGATGACACGTGAGGGGTTTGCTTGACTGGAAAGTCCCGTGAAAAGGTGTGGCGTTTGAGGCGGAGCCGGGGTGGCAATAAATACGCCAAGGTCTCTCCCCCCGCTCTCTGCGGCCCGCTGCGGTCGCGCAGACCGCTCTGTTCCGAACTGAATGGCAAATCGGGATGCAATCGCTTGCGATGCGAACCGATCGCCCCCACCCCCGTATACAACACACATAGCAATAACACATACGGACCAAGTGCATATCGCTCCCACTTGCGTTTTGGATTACAAGATCTTGGTCGGGAAAGGAGGGAAAGCAAAAGTCAGTCTAAACCTTCTGACAAAAGACCGATGAAGCAAACAAGAATTGCATCGTAAGGCAGATGTACAATGATCTTATCATCTTGAAGAAATCGAAAAAAAAGAAGAACTTCAAAAAACTGCGATGACCTGATGATAGCCGGATTCTTTCGGAATGATCGACAACACCGCGCCAGATGACGTGCGACTTTTGCGAAGCTTCACCGAATCTGCCGAGACAGGGCGGCCTGCTGGACCAATCACTGAAAAAAGTTAAATAAAATCATGAAAGTGTAAATCATCTAAATGAGTAGAAATATCCAAGCATATTCAGAGGCGGAACAGGAATACTAGCACAGTGAAGGTGTAAAAGTTTACATTCGTGCCAAAAAGGCATGTGATGATAGCGCAATGCTGCACACATATTATCGGCAAAACGAATAGGAAAACAGGAATGGTGTAACAAATGACTTTGGAATGATTATAAATCAAAGATGGCCAGCGCAAAATGATCTGCATGATAGAGGTAGAAAAAGCAGAACAGCTATGCGCATTACATGCCATTTAGTGATGAATGGCAAGCTTAGAAAAAGTGTTGTTCGGAAATATGGATGTTCAGGGAAAAATATTTCTTCGGGAAGAAGAACGAGACTGGAGCAGCTCAAGAAATGAGAAATTTTCCCAAGCAGCGAAAATACTCGAACATCAGACGGTCCTCAGCGGTTTGTGAGCAGGGACAAGCTATAAGTGAGCTCCAAATTCATGGTGAAAAAACGGACTACGGTAAGCTACTCCGTTGCGACGTATTCATTGTGACAAAACCAAAATATCTAACATAAATTTCTAGAAGATAATGAGCACGGCACTGCACTGCTACAACAATTTAGAATATATCTCACTGTTTAGAAAAGCTCATTTTTAAATTGCTGGAACTTATTTATTGCGAATAAAAGAAAACTGTTCTATTACTTGTATGCTTCAAAAAGTAACTTCCATAAAAAAAGAGCGCGATTCGGTAAATACATCATAATAGATATTAATTGCGATATTAGCATTGCCGCTGTGAGCAATTCAGGAAAACTAGGAATTCAAACGATTTTTGACTAGTGTTTTGGCTAATCAAGATGTATCCATCTCATGGGGAATATTGAGGTAAACAATGTATTGATTATGGATTCTAGCGAGGTTGATGGTATGTTTTCTACCACATACTACGGTTATTGGCTTCACATAGTATGACTTGCACTTAGAAGGTAAAAGTTTGTCCGTTTTTATGCGACTACCAACATCTAAATTCCCAGAAGCTTTGGACTATGAAATCATCGTTATTGGCACCACGCCAAAAATATTCAAATAACGAATCTTACATTGCCCACAGCTGCTAAATTATGCTGACTGATTCGGAACGCTCCATACTTTTTGGCACGAGCATTCAACAATTTGCCGATTATTCTCGACAGTCATCGTCGTCCAAGCAATAATCTTCACATAACCGGGGGCAGCGATAGCTTCAGCACGTGATTCAGGTGCACAATCATCGGCAATAAACTACGAAAACTTCCGTCGGAGATACCAATAGTCCTACAATTTTCGAGACACTCTTATTTTGTTGTCATCTCACTGTTTGTTTCATAGTCCAGTGTTTTTCATGTTTCTAGATGAGAATGCTCTTAAATTTCAAATAATAATGATTAACTGCTCTTGTGCTATGAGATGCTAATAATTAACTAACAATAATGTCAGCCAAAAAAGTAGCAACATCGGGTCATGGCTAACACAATTACAGTTTTCTATTATTATTTATTTATTTGTATTATTATTTCTATTTTTACTGCTATATCACAGAACCCTTCAAGTCAAGTGCATTTTGGAAATCATCTAAAGTCTCTAGCGCGCTATTGAGGATTTTTTTTTCTGTACGGGTTGCTGTGATACGGTAAAAGAGCGCTAATGAAGTTCTATATTTTATATGATTTTGCAGAAAAAAAATACTGCGAGATGGTTGGCCATACTCTTTGCATATGATTAGTCCTTATTTCAGAAAGCTTCATCAATAACAGCATTTCATATCAGGCAGAAATAAATGTTGAACGTCAAGACTTCGTAAAGACAAATATTTCTAACTGTGAACTAAATAGCAAGTCTGTAAAAGAGGCACATATGAGTCGGTAAGTCCTGCTAAATGGAACGCTCGAGATATAAGAACGGGTCAGCAACACTAGCGAGAGGCTCAGCTGAGATTTAGAAACATTATCGAATTTTTCATTAGTCCGAAGCAATGCATTACTGATGGGCTAGTCACACTGTGAATATGTAAAAATTAAATTTTTATTACTAAAGCTATTGCGGACAAGAAAGATTTTTGAAACTGTAATCTCTACCCAGTCTGATGTCTGAAAAAGTGTGTGGCCATCGTATAATATGGTTCAAATATAGCATACAATACCGTTTTTTTAACAAGACACAGTTGCTCGATTCGTGTGATATCACCATAGTGTGGCCATATCTCGCTTCAGAGTGGACGAATTCTTGATTCAAGGGTCATTCGGTCAGCGCGGCGCGGGAGTGCCGGCTTGGACTTAATAGGAAGTCACATTTCCACGATTCATTTCAGATTTTTGCTTTCGGTAGGTTAATCAGTGTGCTCATTCATTGCATTCACTGGGCAAAACTGCCATAAACAAATATCTAAAACCATTCCTGGAATCTGACTTCCTTCTGTGTCCAAGTGGAGCTGCGCCGAGCTGAGTCAAATGGTGCCCTTGGATTAAGAATTTGTCCACTCTGAAGCGAGAATGGCCATGCTTCGGTGAGGTCACATGAATCAGGCAACTGTGCGTCGTTTTTTAAAAGATTATGAGCGGTATTGTACACGAAATATAAACTCTCACTCTTAAGTTCAAGTCAGTGCAAGTTGTAAACCACGATGACGCGATCTAAGTGTCCAGCTGTATCATCTATGAGGGCAATATAAGTGAGTCGTGTCTATCATTTGAAAATCTATGTGAAAACCTGAGATTCTTGCAAAATTCTGAGAGGGATATTCTCGCTTCGTTTGCTGAGTATCATCAAAGCTTCACTTTCCGAGATAGTTACGAGATTGCAGAACAAGGTCGAGAAAAGCGAAGCTCATGAAATGCCCATTCTTTTAAGCCGTGCTGGAGCTAGAAATGAGGTAGCCCACATGGGTTTAGGTCTTGAGTAACTAGACAAGGGAGAAATAAAACTTCAAAACAGCCACATACTTACCATTACTACGATAATGTCAGTTAGCGAGTGCTGCAAAGTTCGCCAACCTCCGACTTTTTTTTTGAGTGATTGATTTTGTCTTTGCTTTAAGGTTGGTTACTTTCTACTAGATACACTTTCCAAGCAAACATGATAATTTGATACAAGAAAGGCTTCTGTGTGACTGATTTCTGTTTGACGACGGCCCAAAAATATCCATCACAAAAAAATACCACTATTTATGATTGCTCTTTGTTGAGAAATAAATGAGCTTTCACCACAAAATCACATAGAAAAGATGGCGATTTTTATTACAGTTAAATTTTTGAGAAAGATGAGACGCAAACAAAACTGACATAAAGCATGACTCATCAACTTAATTTTATTTCTATCTCTTCAATGTAAATGAAACTTATATAGGATTACTTTGGAGTTGAATTAGGCAAAAAATGGTTCATAATCTTGTTTTTCGACGAAATAACTTTTCGGAGGAGTAATGGATATGCGATTAAAAACTGAAATTATGGAAACGCATACTTTTGAGACTACGAAGAAATAATTCAGAAAAGCACGAGCATTTCCAAATTTCGGGTACGGAAGCTGACTGATTGAAGAGCAAAAAAAGGTCTGAACAAACGTAGATCGTTTCAGGCCACATCCTATTGCCATATGCAATTATATCCCAAATATTTTCCACAAGAATTCTTAAAATTTACTGAATAACCTCGGCCAAAAATTTAGAAGTAGGAAGATTAGTAAGTAAGATATAATGATATGAGGAATCGCTATAAAGCTAAAGTTCCACACGGCGAAGACGTTCAGCAGTCCGGTTACTGCAACGAGTCGAACAATATGCACTGAGTGGTAGCTGCGGCTATGATTGTACACGCTAAGTAGCATTCAACAACGTTTCTATAGCTTTGATAAGAAGAAGACCAGTATAAAGAGCGGATGCCAGCTGTACAAGAATTTTCTGCGCAGCTTTTCGTCGTGCTTTGTAGGATAGAACCTTGGAAAAAGCTTGGTTATGCTTGCAACGCAGCAAAGGCCAAACATTCATGAAGAATGGATCGAACGCCTCTATCAATAATTATTATTTTCAATTTTTACTTGAATTTTCACAATTCATGGAAATACTACTCCCGTCTGATTGAAATTTTATATAGAGTTGTCTTTCCGAATTTTTGGGCTGGACAACACTCAAACAGTTTCTGAGAAGTTTATGATATTAGCATTGTAGACCTATCGTAATATTTAATAAGATTTCTTCGACAATAAATGGACATTAGGTCCGAGAGCAGCATGTCAAAGGATGACCTCATCCAAAACATATTCACACACATAGCTCTAAATTGCAAAAATTCGTGTCCGAAAAAATTGCACATCTCCTGCTCACACGGTGTAGCACGTTTTAAAACTCATGAATTCGCGATTCAACTTAGTTGAATTTCAAGCTGGAATGAAGCTAGGAATGAGATGGGTGAATGTGAAGAAGGTCAAGCTCATACGATCTCTTTTAATTGCTTATACGTCATAATTAGTCATCTTGAGCAATAAATCATCTTAGAAAATAATGCCTATGCAATATCGTTTTCTATCTTGATAGACGTCCAACAATAAAAGGGAAAGGAATGAGTGAAAATATGAAAAAATAGTTAAAATTCAAAATGAAATAGCTCCAATCAAATATGTGATATGACAAAAGTCGGAGTAAATCCACCAGCGATAAGCAGCTTTTTGATGAAGTAAGAGTGCAAAAAGCGTACAGTATTCTAGGACCCAACACATAAAGAAGCTCAGCGAATATACAGCGGCAAATGAAATCGTGGTGGAGAAACATCAGTAATGAATAACAGCTGATTCATCGCATACGAGCAAATGATATAATTCATCTCATGGACCATGCGTAGGAGTAGAAAAAAGTACGAAAAAATAGACCATGAAAGAAGTGGATGGATATAATGAAAAAACTTACCTCTCACCCCAAGTTCATCAACACGCACCTCACCTCCATCAGCAAATGCCAGATCAAGATTGACCTACATCAAAAAATGTGAACAAGGGATCTCTATGAAATTGCCATTGGCCATTTACCTGCTGATTTGTAAAGCACTGGGTTGTCGGAAAATTTGGTTGAGGTCCAACAGAACATAAAGCTGCAGCTAAGGCCATAATACCTACACAAAAAAACATCAGAAATTACGGTACCAATGGAATGGAATAAACAGGAGCGCTCATCCTATTTGAGAAATGATAAGCATTTTCGCGCAAATTAGAGAATGAAAATTCATGACCTGTTACGTATGTTTTGAACGATGTACAAGTTATACAAAAAAATTCCATGAGTATCAATTTCAAGCCCATTATCACCTCTTATTTTAAAAATTTCATAGTCTGCTTGGATAACCCCACTGTGGCTTCTGCAGCTAATAGCAGGAGGTCTTGATACTCAGCCCTCAGAATTGAGTACTACATAAAAATATTGTTCATTGATTAATTAATGGCGAAGTCATTTCAAAAATTACTACCCTTTGATTCAAACGGGATTGGCGACTGGAAGGCGGGACTTCGTGACCTAATTAAGTCTAAAGAATGATCAAAGAACATACGCGCGAGAGAGACGCAACTGCGCACGGGCGCGAGCGGCCTTGATCAGGTCACAAAGCCCCGCCTTCTAGCCGCCAATCCAGTTGAATCAAAGGTTATATGTATGCTGTACCGAACTATTTTTAGCTGATTCTATTATAAAAACGCCAAACTTATACTCCAGGAATGCAGGATTAAACACGGCAGACGACTTTGATTGGAAGCTACAGTGTGATCTACAGGGATGCACAAGACATTCGAAATTTGCTGGATAGCTCTACCTTGAACATAATTTTCCTTAGAAGCTTTTTGTGTATCGATATTTTAAGCAAACAAGCTACCACATCAAACTGTCAAGGTCTATACTCTTAAGTAAAATGACTGAGATATAGTGGAAGAAAATCTCAATAAATCTATATCTCACCCAAATGCTCCCCTCGAGGATCGGCAATATCCTCAGCCCCAACAAGTGATCCCACTCCGATCACTGCGGCTGCTTCGAGTGCTGCAACGTTGCTAATCATTCAGTATTACTAACTACTTGAAAAGGAAAAAAATTCAAGTAAAGCCTATGCACGAATAAGCGATACCGACCCAAGTTGATGTTTTCAACACAATCTTCAAACGTATCAAATCTCATCTGCTCCACATCGACAACCTAAATTAAAAGGAAATTTCATAACTAAGGTTTAAGTGGCTTTCTCTTCGACGTTGATTTAGCTCGTAAGTCATCTCGTCTGCCATTTACTATTCTTTTTTTCTCTGTAACTAGTCACTGACCGGTCCTCCAACAGCTTCGACTAGCAACGACAACAAGTATCCGTCGCACCATGACATCTCAAAGTCTTCTACAACGCTGTCAGGCAGGAGCTGGAAGCAGGGTTTGAAACAGGAAATAAGAATATGATTATCCAAGAATATCCAAGAATTTACCTGCTGGACTCTATAAAGAGTAGCCCTGTAACCGCAAGCTCCACGCATAATAAAATACGATAAATAAGTTATACACGATAATTCATCCAAATGAGGACTATTGAGGTGAGCAGCAGAAATAATAGGAGGGATTGCCAAGTACTGCGTGGCCAGCTTAAGAGCTCTTTCACAATTTGCAAGGCTAAACAAAGTATTCTTTGACTGAGTCTTCAAGAATCTTATTCTACCCCTGCTCGGAATCCAATCCCTTCCATTCCGGGCACAATCCCGGCTGGCAGTATTCGAGAAGAGCACTCAGTGCTTTTCCGTCATTCCAGTTGGTTCGAAAATTAGTGAGCTTCAGCTCCGGTATAACCGACTAAAAAATACAGGACATAATCTTGGTCTTGTGGCTCTCTTCTCGCTTGCTCTCGGTTGGTTCATAAGTCTTGCACCAAAAAATTTTGCAAAACTTGGTCTATAATTATTTTGGCCGACACTATATTTTTCTACATTTTTTACTATGTATGATTTCATACAATAAGATGTATTCCTGGGATTCCTTATAAAAAATCCATATGTCGTATAAGGGATCCACAATTTTGCCAAAAAATCTTTAAGTAGAAGAAGTAGGTCAAGCAAAGCATAAAATAGATTAGTGTTATTACGTGAGGAAACAACAAATGAAAAGAAAAGAATACGACTTAAATATTCTTCTCTATCCGCTCTACTCAACCATGATTTCTGATTTTAGCACAAGAAAAAAAGTTCACTTCTCTTTGTCTAATCCACAATAATCCGACAAAAGCTTGGATTCTTGAGAGTGGAAGCTGTTTGATCAGCATAAAACTACAGGATTAGAGTACTTGCTGTACAGCAATTGAACGTACGTGAAGAGCTCTTTCGAATAATATAAAAACTTGAAGATGCACGAAATTTGCTTCACGAAAAGGTTGAAAGAAAGATCCGTTTCAGGAGTGGTGTGAAGTGTTAATTGAGGCGGAGGTCAAAATGAGGAGAAGCGTTCAAAAAAAAGTAGGTCAAAATCTTTCACAATTTTGGAAAGACTCTATCTGCTTGCAGTTTTTGCAAAAATTACAAAAATTTGATGTAAAAATTCGAGCTAAAAAGCAGAGTTATGCACGAGAGATCAAATTATATCTTATGAAAAGGAAACGTGTAAAAAGAAGATTTGATTTTCCGTAAAATTTTGCGCAAGACTTATCGATCATCCAAATATTCTTACCTGGATCCAAGCCATAACAAGCTTTTTTGGAGGAATTTTACTTCGAGATGCGATTTGATATCGCTGGATAAGGCACCATATAAGACCAAGAATAAGTTTTGTATTGCCTTCGACTACATCATGACTTCCTGAACCGAACATATTAGATCTCAAGAAGTACAGCGCTTCGCGCGCACTAAACAGAGACGGCTTTCGGCGCCTGGGTCAACATCAGAATCGTCTTAGCAATATGCATTCAGCCTGTGCGCAGGATTTGTAGATTTTAGCGCTTTAGGCAAAATTGTGGGTGAAAGTTTGAAAATTCCAATAATAAATCAACAAAATTAGAATGAGATAAAGGCGCTAATGTAACCAAATTATCTGTTACTTTACCTATATTTACTGTTTTTACACCATCTTCTCTAAGTGCATCCAAAGCCATTTGTACATTGAGCAACATTTGAATTTCAGAGGGATCATCGTCGTAGATCTGAATTAAGCAAATCCATCATGAAAAGTTCAAATTTCCAGCATCCAAAGTTTTGCAGATATATGATCCTACACCATATTTATTGAAAATTAGGAATAATTTTGAAATTGATAAAAATCGAAAATTGCTTGGCATTGGAAAAATTCAATGGACCGATACCCCCAGAAAGTTCTCCAAACTTACCTTTCCGTAGTACTTTCTCCCTTGTAAAGCTTCGATAAGCCGTATGAGAGCTACTCCGTTTGCGAGATCTTTTGAAATGTCAGTGATCTGAGGAGATTCTATCTGAAATCAAGTTTTTGCATTAGTTTCCATGATGTCTCTGTTTTGCCCCATTGCCCTTTCGCAGAACGGGTACGGCTATTTTTGGCGCCATTGCCTCATCTTCCCCGGAAAATCCGGTTTTTTCGTTGCGATCAAAAAAAGCGCTCGAGAATCCCTCTTTAGTCTAGTGACTGGCCGTGGATTTCCTATCCTCAACAGTCACTCAACTGCCAAGTATCAATGAACGGATAGCCGACCAAATGTCAATAATGACCAGTCGGGAGTCGAGGTAGCTTGAGCTGGTGCAACTCCTCCGTTGCGCACACATCAGGGCACTTATTAGGAGACATTTGCAAACAATATCTGACCAGCAAAAGAATTTCTCGAATCGATTGCAAGAGCAGAGGTGAGGCTCAAGAGGTCCTCGTATGACTCACAAAAATCCCAACCTAACACTTCGATTTGTAGTGGACACGCTCAACTTCGAACTTCCGCTCTAATAGGAATGTAAACCTTTGAACGCATTAATCTGGCAAGTCCGACTAGAAAGCAACGGATTCCACTTTAGTTTCCAAATTCTTCTCACAAAGTTCATATGCTCTTTTTTGCAAGTTCCGCATTTGAAGTTGAACCTTTCATCGCCACCCCTGCTGCGCTCCGCTTTTGGATAAGGGCACAATCATGACGATGTTTTCAAATATAATAGCCACCTGTTGATTGATCCAATTTGTGAACGTTTGACACTGGATATCGATCCAAAACTGACGATTCTCATCCATTCCACATAAAAGTGCAGCGTGCAGGTCACCACCGCCAGCGCAGGAGGCAGGAGAGGAGGAAGAAGGAGGTGAAGGAAAAGCTGGAACAGTGGCGGCTTAGGACGAATGAGTCGGGTAAGTGCGGTCTGTAAAACGACGTGGAGGAGGGCTGAGGCGGGACGAGGACTCAAGAAGTTGAGATTCTTCGACCCGCCGCTCTCAACGCTTTATCTCTATCAGAAAAAAAATCGCGGACATGGGAACAATATGCAAACGAAGCGGCTGATTCTCGGCAACTTTTAAGATCCGCATCAATCCAGGCGCCACTCGACCTGATTAGATGTGCTGTGGGACGAGCTGGATAGACAATCAGAATGAGCTAGCTGGAGACCCTGATTCAGGGGTGGAGTAAGCGCGCCTCGCAACGCAAACACGTCAGATATAGGCAACTGCCGGCACTGCTCGAGCGGCGCACAACATCGGGCCGCCATGCCCGAACAGACCAAACAATTCGACGTACGGTTCGCGCACAACCTCGTCTCGTCTCACTCGCCGCTTCCACGCTTTTGCTCAGCACTGTCACAAAAGAACGTCCGCTAATCCGTTTGAGCACAGTGTTCTTTGGTGAGAGCTCAGAAATCACAATCTAGTTCTAGTTCTCTTAGCTTTCACTCCTTCCACATCAAAAAGGTGCAAAGCTGGATTATTGGGAGCATGATATCAAGCCTAAAGGTGTTTGATATGTTTGCAAGAAGCTAAGGACGGATTTAGCTATATAAGGAAGTGACCGTAGTTTCTGTAGGAGGGGTGGGAGAAGATGGGTGCAAAAGTGGGTGCCATGAGTTACAAACATTCAGCTATATCGAAAAATTCTCAGTTCTGAGCTGAATGACAAAAATCAGTCTGAAGCCTTATGGAAGAGGATGCAGCGATTAAGTGGAATGTAAAGTAGCTTCACGAGTTGGTATATTAACTCCAGGATCTCGTAGGTAAATTGGCCAAAATCATGACTTCTAATTTGAAAATAATCAGAAAACTACAAGAACAGGGATTTTGCTGTGTATCACTCGAAATTGGCGAGTTCATCAAATTGTATATGAAAAGTTGACAATGATGGACCTTACTAGACGAAAAAAAGCTGAAGAAAGGGATGCTTCCGCAGTGCTGGCACGGTGCCAGGGTGGAGATCAAAACAAGGAAAGTCGTTTAGAGAATAAGATTTGGCCCATAAGTTACACATTTGGTAAAGAGCTTTTCAAAAAATTTTGAACAATGTATAAAAAGCCCTATCTTCCCGGGGTTTCGTAAAAATCAATCAATTCTGGAACAAACCAAACCCTTGCACAAACTTATCTGCAAGATTTTGATCTACACGTTTACACGTCGTCTCTTAAGGAATTTCGAGGTATAGGATAAAACATTACAAATTTCTGAAGCCATGAGACACAATAAATGTCCATATGAACAAACAAAGGATAGTACGACCATTGTAGGCGAAATTGAAATTTTTCTAACAATAGATACATAAAATACAGTGTCTGCTTTTTGAAACTGAGAAAGTGACGATCGTGCGGCACTTTGCAGTCTGGACACAATGGGGAACAGCAGCTCGTACAAGTTTATCTAGCAAAGACCGCATGCACTCTCCCAGATTCCTATGTTTACAAAGGCTCTCATCGCATAGGTTCTGGATGCAAAGCTGCTAATAGGCTACAGATCCACGCAAAGTATACTTGGTAGTTGCAAAACTGTAGAATTTGAGTCAGTGACTTTGCAACATCCTCATTTTGTTCATCACTACAAATGCGACTCTATTTGCAAATGTTTTGCAAAAGCTGAGCAAACATTTTTTACCTATCACAACCCTTGACTTTTGCTTGGAATTGTTTTTAAACGGCTCCGTGTCACGCTCATACAATGGCCCGCAGAAAATACCGAAGAAATATTTATTATTTTACAGTGAATAGGTGTAACACTGCAGAGTCTAAAAAATCACAAATACAAGCTGCAACAGGTCGCGAAAGTGTTGTTTCACGTGCAAAAGCATGTGTGTTCGATGATATGTTTGAATGTAAAAGTACTGAAAGTTTCCAGTGTATTAGGTTGTCCCGGAAGTTTTGTCCGTTTTTTCAACCTATCATAAAAACGCGTGGAAAGAAGATAGGGAAAGGCTCTGAGCACTATCCAACGCATCTTTTCCTCCTTTTTCTAAATGTCAAGCCCACATGCCGATCACTTTTTTGCTCACTGAGATAAACGCCGAAATTTCGAACTCATGGTTTTTACTAAGTCCAAGCTTGACAATTTTTCACAATCTTCATTTTCAACTTTTGCAAGACCTTTGATAGCCCTCAGATAGAGTAAGCAAAGGACAATGCAATGCAATTATTTGGCATATCTAGCTGGCTTTTCAATATTTTTAAAAATAATTTTTTTAAAAGTCTTCACTTTTGCGAAGTTCTAAAATACAGAAACGCCTCGAACACTAACAAATCATCGGATTTTGGAGCTTTCAAAAACGATTACGATTATTCACTATTTTTACAAAGCAAATGAGCGTTTACCGCCTCGAAATATAAGATTTTGCATTTTACGTGTACACGCTGGGGTGGAGTCAAATTCAAGAATTATGAACATTTTATCGCCAAAGACCCCGCAAATTGGAGGTAAAATACACTCACTGGAAAGAGGAGGAAAAGCTGCATCGAATAACACCTTAGTTGTGCGCCGTTTCATTGATCTCTGGCTTTTGGCATCACCCAAAGTGGAATTTGATAGCATCAGAAAATAATTCTAAAAAATTTTCAAGGCTGGCTGTAGATGCCGCAAAACTGCATTATATTGCCCTTTGTTTGCTCTATCTAAGTGTTGCCAAAGCTTTTCCGAAAGGCAAGAATAAAGATTCTGAAAAATTGCCAAACTGGGACATAGCAAAAACCATGGGTTCGAAATTTCGGCGTTTATCTCAGTGAGCAAAAAAGTGATCGGCATGTGGGCTTGACATTTAGAAAAAGGAGGAAAAGATGCGTCGGATAGTGCTTAGAGCGTTTCCCTATCTTCTTTCCACGCGTTTTTATAATAGATTGAAAAAACGGAAAAACTTTCGGGACAACCTAATATAAACATTGAATTTTCTCTCTTGCTGACCTGCTGACCTAGAGGGCCATGAGAAGTGAAAACGGTCAGCGGTACTTTGAAACAGATAGTGCTCCTGAATTTAGAGATGAGTATTGTTGCGCTTCGAAATCCGCCAAAGTCTCAATTTATGGTCTACTAACATTTGTTTAGTTGCAGACAAGGATAAATGCGCTCTGTATCATCACTCTAAAAGTACCCTTTGATTCAGGGAGATTGTTGGCTAAAAGGCGACAGCTCGCGCCCGCGACGCAGTCTGCGTCTCTCTCGCGAAAATGCCCTCTGTCATTCTCTAGCCTTGTTTAGGTCACGAAGTCCCGCCTTCCAGCTGCCATCCAGTTGTAACAAAGAGTAAAGGCAGGTTAGTGGTCAAAATGGAGAATCGGGATGCATCAATTTGATACCCTTTCAACTTGAAGATCAAGCTTCAATACTCGTCTTTTTGTTGAGAAAGAATTAATTTCAACATTTTCAAGAGCGATTCTGCGAAGTCGAAGAACACTATGGGCCCTTGCGTACATACATACTAGGCTGAAAATCTTCACAAAGCTTCGATTTTGGATGTATAAGAATATAATTTTAATAAGATTAACACCTTCCTTCACCATTGATACCAATCATTCTCGTAGGAGGCAGAATAACTCTGCTAATTCCAACTTAAATCTGCAAAAGACACTTTGCAGACCACTATTACGGGGGTGGATTGAGCAGTAATCTGGGAATGTTACGGTGCCGAAGAATCAAGACTGTCTTACTTACAGGCTCAACCAAACCGTCGGTTGGACAAGGGATGACTTTTCTTAAAAGATACTGCATTTTGGCAACGATAATACAGATTTGAGTGGTTAAAAAATTACCAGAATTTTCTTCGTAATAGACGAGCTTGTCCTGTCTAGATGTTTCAATATATAAGTATATGCGATCCACAAAGCTCCTGCCACGTAGGAAGGTAGAGATGAGATATCCTTGCCTTCAAACAATTAAAAATTATGCTGCACATTCTTACTCTGCATCTTTTTAGAGATTTCCGCAACTGCTCAAGAAGATTTTCAGAAGTAAGCTCTTGTCTGACAATGAGAATGGCACAGCTAGTTTTGAATGTTGAAGAATACGCAAACATCGACAAAACTGTTTCAGAACGTACTTGTTTCTTCAAAGCATACTCGAAGGAAATTTGTAAAACCGTGTGGCTCTTCACTGCACTGACAATGAGAAAAAGTTGTTTGCTCTAGAAGATTGTTCCAGTGATTTGAACATACACAGGCGGTTAAAAAAATATATTAATATTTGTAAGGCAACGTCTTCGTGGAATAGCTTTAGGTGGAGTAGATTTGAGACTTGTACCGTATAAATGCTCAAAAAGGAGGTGGTGTTCTGACGACAACATTGAGGAAATATACCTTGTTCTGGAATTGATTGCAGCTTTTCTTTTTTGTTTTTCATTCAAGTACCTGAAAGTACGCAATAGAGACATTTTGCTATTGTATGTTCCCGAAGTTCTCAGCATATTGCACTTCCCATTCGATTCACACCTCCAGACAAATTAAGAAGTTTTACATTGCAGGTTTGACAAGTTGGTCTCACTATTCCACTGTCAAATTCTTACAGAAAATGATGATTGATACATCGTAGTTGATTGCTTCCCTAAAAGCTCCTCGAACTTGTTTCGACAATAATATAAAATTATCATTTTGAAAGTTCAGTTCTGAGGCGTGTGCGGCACATTCGATCTGTAATTTCTGTAACTTGATTGCTTGTCCATGTAGTGAAAAACTCAGAGGTATCTGAAAGAAATGTGCATTCATTTGCTTCGATAACACCTATATTTTTACAAAAAACTGAGGAAAACTTTGGACCTTATCTGAGAATGGCCCGTAGTAAAGCTCGATCAGTTAAGGTGAACTCAACTTAACCCATCAGTTCACCGCACGTGAGGTGAACTGATGACCACCCACCCTACCATGCTAT